GGAGTGAATAGCAAGTTTAAAAATTGATTTTGAATTCCAAAGGAATGTCCAGTAGTAAGGATATCTCCCTCTTGGCCTGAGAGATTGAAAGAAACTCTTAGAAGCTGCAGCTCTATGTTTATTGATAACAGATCCATGCCTATTTTGATCACACGGTGGTGCAGGTCTCATGGGTATCTATTACAGACATGCAATGATGTGTCCCCCAAATTAGCCAAAATTCAGTTAGCCTAGACAGCCAAAATTTTTAAATGACTGTGTGTAAATCAGCAAAGGAAGTTTAAACAATTCATTTTTGTGTCCTTTATCTATGCTGGTTTTGATCCTGTACTGTTGGATTGGAAGAAGCTCTAAAGCTGAACTTACATGTCTGGATCCCAGCTGCTCACTCTAGAGTGGACCATAGATGTGCACTGCCTTAACCCCACTATGCAGGAGAATTCTCTAGGCCACAGGGACTTAGAAATAGCCTGTAAACATATTTCAGTGGTACTTGCAGTATTCTGGATCCAGAAATATAAATTACAGTCAGAGAATTATTCAGTAATAGCAGTAAGTAATGCATGCAAGAGAGAACATTTATCTTCTCCATGACTGGGAAAACAGTGAATTTTCATTGTTAATATTATGGCTCCAGTTTTCTTGTGGACTGTATATCTTACTAGCAGAAACCCTCTACTATCATTTCTTCCATTCCATCAACGGATATTTAGGCATACTTAAATCTGAATATAGTGTCTGGTAAATCACTAACAAATGGTAGTCACTGTGGCTTATATGAAGTGTTGCATATGTTTGCAGCCACACCCAGGCACTCGCCTTAAAAGCACATAGGGACAATACCACTTGTTAGCTTGCACAACGCATGAGATAAGGTGATGCAATGTTCATATGTCATTGCTCTTGTATGTGCTGTTCATGTCAGGTGTTTCTCCTGGGCAGCACGTAAGTGCATGGCACCCATCAGCTCTGCAGTCTTGTTCACCATCATCTCTACTGGGACACAAAAGGTTCAGCAGAAGTAATCCATTTGATCACTCCCTTTCTGTTCTTATGTCCAGTTAAATCAAACCTTTTTTTTTGCTCTCTAATTCTCATGTAAGGCTCCCAATGACATCATCTATCTGGGACTCTTGAGGTGTGAACTATTCTGTTATTTATAGATTTATCTATTTATTGCACTGATGTTGGCAGAAGAAGTTGAATTTTTTTAATACTTAGGAAAGGATAATTTTCATATCTTTTTTTTCTAGAAAAATGTGGTTTGCTGAATTATCAGAGTTATATGTTTATCAGGAAGACATTTAACATACTTCCTTAGGAAACCAGAATACACTATGTAAATTTTAGTTGGCTTTTTCAATGTATTTTTTAATGTAGTAGTATTTTTGTGAAGAATAACACTATTTATAGCTAGAGCAATATATAATACTACTGTATCATATGTTGATGTATTTTTAAGAAAGGAATTTTTTTGAGCATAGGAAGCAAAATGTGCCTTTATAAATATAAAAATGTGCCAATACTTTAAGTCCTTGGAAAAATGACATAAATCTTAACATGCTAGTATAAGACAGAAGACATATCAAATGCCTTGTTGATGCCTTGTTGAACCAATACCTTGAAGGAAGGAAGACTAAATAAATCTGTATTTTAATTTAATCATTATGATACCATTCACACAGCTACTAAGAATCCTTACCACTAAATTTAGACTAGATGTTTTTGAAAATAACTTCAGCTGAGTACTCTGAAGTTATACACAGAAAGTATGCAATGATAACCTCCTCCTATCACACTAATACTGTATACTGAGAAAACCATTTACATTTGGAGATTAAATGTGGGATATTACAGAAATTTCTCAAATAGTCAAAATAGATTTGAGGAGAACAAATTTGATGTCTGTCATTTGCAGGGATTATTCTTGACCTTCCCTGTTTAACCAAGGAAGAAACAAAGAAAAGGACTGGGAGAGCTTGGTAAGGCACCTGGCACTTAAGAGGAGTTAAAGATGTCTTTTACTGTTACATAGAGTCAGCTTGGACTACTTAACAAAACACGTAGATTGTCAGATCTGTAAGAGAACTCGTTATGTACATTTTCTCTGAAATAATTTTGGAGTGGCTACTGTTACATCATTCATTGTGTGCAGCACATGGGAGGTCTCTGAGCAAAGAGTTTGCCAATTCTCCTGCACAGGCCAAGACTCAGGGGTATATCTATCACCTATGGGAAACATCGAAGCAGTTTGATAAGGATACCAGACCCTGATGGAAATAACACCACCTATTTTACCGTAGTATTTATATAGGTATGTTGGCATTAGCTGATGGGTTTTTAGGCTTTCTAACATTTCCAGTTGTAAGGAAAACTGCCAGATTAAAAATAATCTTTGGCTCAGGTGCTGCAGTGAGCATACAGAAAGCTGCTGAGGGTCATGAAGGTGGCTGGAGGTCCTGATGTCAGGGAGGAAGAAGGAAGTGGACTGTTTACTCTGATTTGTTTTAAACAGCTTTTAGTAGAAACAAAGTAGTACTGGAAATTCTGCAAGAGTTTTCAGTCCTTTATTCAAGGAGACAGTCTTTTGCTTATGTGAGCAGCTGGCTTTCCCTGTGTCCATCATGTGCCATTTAAACTTTTCACCCACTTCCCAGTAAGCATTTACTTCCTTTCAGTGTTCTGTACTCTGGTCTCTGCCACGTTCCCTGGCTTCTTCCTAAAATGAATTGGCCCACTGTTGGTGGCACAAATCTAATGTGATTATTTTAAAGAAAGACCAGCTAACTCCTTATGAGCAACACACAATCAGAGATAAAAAAAAAAAGGGTAATATTCCCACGGGAATTTGCATTGAAGGCATTCCAAGCACAAGGGAAATCCATGTGCACACAGTGTAATGTTGTTCTGCACAGGAGTTTCAGTACATAGCAAACTTTGTAATCATGGTTTCACTGGAGTCGGGAGTTTACCACTTGTTCAATTGGTATTTAAATTATGATCTCAAAATTGTCCTTTCAAGTACGTAGACCTGAAAAGGACTTTTTTTTTAAACTGACATTTTGGAGTACAGGTAAATGAATACTGAATCAGTCTCCTATATTTGATTCAATGAGAATACTGCTCCTGTGAAATAAACCGCAAGTAGAGTGTTGTGTAAGAGGGACGCAGGTTTACAACTCTCACATTGTAAACTAATGGTCTGAGTCTTTACCAGCTTATTCACAGTAGTATTTTATTAGTGCTACAGCCAACAAAAGCATATTGCTTGTGTTATCTGTGCTTCTTTATAACCATATTACCAAGATTACAGCAATTCATTGCCTGACATTTATCTATCTGACTGTCAAATCAAATATTCATGGAGTATTCACTGCTACTCAAAGTAGCCTGGAGAAATAGTTCTGATCCCTCTGGTTACCTCTCAGTATCTCCTAGCTGATTGTGAGGGAGGTCTTGCCTTATGCATTTGCAAGATCCCATCTCTTTGGTTATGTGTTTCTGGTGTGAGCACTTATCATTCCTTTACTGTGTAATTTATTTGATGGTGTTACTGGTATGCTATTGCATTTGTGGTGTGCAGCATGATTTTGCATTGCTATTTATAACATTGGTATTAATGGTAAATTTGGTGGTATAGTAAGAGAGGAAAGATTATGATCTCTTCCCCAGTGGATAGCAGCAGATAGGAAATAATGTATTTCATAATGGAACAATGTAAATAAAATGCTACTCATTAATTAAAGGTAATTAACTGAAAGAGAATACAGTTAGTTAAATACACAGAATCCTAAAAATAGCAAATATTCTTAAAATTCTATGAATATTTTGAATTTAAATATATTTTAAATGCATGAACATTAAGGAATTGAAGAAGGTTCTTGTGAATAGTCTTTGGTTAAAGGATTTCCATTTACCAAAGACTCAGATTAACCATTAACCATGGACTCTCAGATTCACAGAATTCCCTGGTTAAATAGGAATGTCTGTCATATTGTTAAGGTCCTTGAAAGTGTCCAGAGGAGGGCAACAAAGCTGGTGAAAGGGCTGAAAGGAATGTCCTGTGAGAAGCACCAAAGGATTTTGGGCTTGTCTAGTTTGGAGAAAAGGAGGCTGAGGAGTGACCTCATTGACCTCCACAACTTCCTGAGAAGGGGAAGTGGAGAGGGAGGTGCTGATGTCTTCTCCCCAGTGTCCGGTATAGGACATGTGGGAGAGAGACATGTTCAAAGCTGCTCTGGGGGAGGTTCAGAGTAGACATTAGGAAGCATTTCTTTACTGAGAGGTTGGTCATGCACTGTAACAGGTTTCCTTGGGAGGTGGTCAAAGCCACAGGCCTGTCAGTGTTTAAGAGGTATTTGGACAGGCATGAACTAGACAAATAATTGTAGATCACATCCAACTGAAAATATCCTATTCCATTTTATATATCATTCAGCTTTTGGACTTCTCTGAATCTTCAGTACAGACCTTGTAAAAATGTTTCTGAAGAGTAAAAACAAAAAAGGTTAGTTTTGAGTGCAGTTCAATAGCAATAACTTCAGATTCTTCCCACAAGGTGCATGAGAAGAAACAGCTTTATTTTTGCTGGTTTTGTTTTGGGAAAATGCTTGGAAGTATGACAATCATTAGAATTTCCCGAGTCTTTTCCAACTAGAAAAAAGGAGTACAGAATTGAAAAAGCAGCAGAACAGATTTGTTCCACTGTTATCTCAGTGGTAACAGATTAATAAGACGAATAGTGAATATTTTACTACAATTAATTATGAAATATTGGTATGAGGTTTTTGTATAGCATAATTCTTTTTGATTTTAGTCAACATACTGGTTTACACTACCAGCCTTCAGAAGCCCTGCCTGTGCCTGATGCCTCGATAAAGGTCAGAGGGGCGTGACTCACCTGTGAGGAGTGTGTTGTCACCGCCAGCTCTGGGCAGGACAGTCCCACCTGTGGTGTCCCAATTTCCAGGGCAGCTGGCTCGGATTGGCTGCACTGGCTCCCACCTTGGCACGGATTGGCCAAGCCTTCCGCCTCCTCTGTCTCATCTTCCTGGGGCACTGGCACTGCCTGGCTGCAGCTCCTCCACACTGACCACAGAGGGACCGGAGGATGCCCACGCATCAGCACTTGGTCGATAAGGTGTGTTGGTGGGGATGTGGCGGACAGGGTGCACACTAACTGGTGATGCTTATTCTCAAAGGCTAAAGAATAAGTCTGTGGCTCATCAGAAACATCTAGGAGAAGGAGAAAAATACTCATAAACAATGGGAATAGAAAGGGGTGTACAGGACTTAGTCTTAAACTGTTGGCAGGATGGGCTTGCAAGGACTGTGTTTTTCAAATTATGGAAAGGTATTTATCATATTAAGTAAACGCTCTATATTTAAAAGCTTTTAAAACAACTTTTGTCTCTATTCAGAAGTTTGCCCAAGGCTTTGGAGGAGCAAACCACCAAAGTGTCTCTTCCCAAGTCCAGTAGACTTTGAAAGCAGTAGCTAACTAGCACTCAGGGATTTAATTGTTGGCCTGGAGTCATACTAGGCTAAATATGAAAGAGGATTCTTAAGGTAGCAACTCAGGTGTTGGAAAGGTAAGGGTCATGTAGACTCATAGGAAGAAAGGTTTGAGTCTGTGATAAAATAATTAGAGTATTTCCATCAGATGAAGGAACTGAGGATATAGTCAATTTTTCATAATTATATTCCACTAGAAGTTTGCAAATAACGTTTATTTGCCAGAATTCCCTATGCTTCTATTTATAAATATTTAATTTTTGTTTCTTTACATTTTTCATGGGGAAAGTGTAAAATACGTAATACAAGGTAACATGATTGCTTTGAGTATGTATTGGATCTTGGAGCCCATGGAAGTTTTCTGCCTCAAGTCTGGACTTGGAATTTTTTAAGATGCTAAAAAGATCTCTCTTTCTCATCTCAAAGCTAGTTCCAAAAGATGACATGACGAGACTCTTAGATTACCTCTTGAACAGTTAAATCAGAGAGCTAATGCAAAGAGAAGGCATCTCAGCTGTGTTTCAACTCGTTATATTTGTATTTCTGGCTCTTTTCTAGCAAGAAAAAGAGGAAAGATTTCAGACTGGCTTTCTTTCATGGCAGAGTGTAGTTCCAGACAAATTTCCAATCCTAGCTAAACTAGGGCTTTGCATTTTGAAATGGAACATCTAATTAGAAACAGACTTTTATTTTCCCACCTCTCTATGAGTCAGAGATTTCAACAACACACAGACTAGTTCATATTAAATCACTGTTTACCGCATCTCTTGATATAATAGCACCCACATGCTGTATTTAAAACTTAATTAGAGGTGGGCCACGTCAAAATCGTCACAAGAGATTGGATAACCGCACCCAGCGTGCTGATACCAAAACATGATGCTTACCAGGATCCCTTTAAAGTGACACTTTGATGAGGCTTTAGAGAGGTACAGGCTTCATCTGCTTTAAAGACATGATAAGTTGCATCTATCACTTTCCTGGTTGCTGGTCTGAGTAATTGTGACACCATGGAAACCTTCATCATTCTACTTGGAAATCTTTCAACAATTCACAGTCACCTGCTTTATTATTTGTTGACTAAGTGGCTTTTTAAAAAGTTGTTGAAGTTCAGAGTTAAGTACATGAGTGTTCAGAGTTGTGTATTTTTCCCCTCTTCCAGATGTTTCTGTTACTTACATTCATTAGCACATACAAAACCAAATGATCTTACACTACACAGTCATGAATGAATTGAGATATAAGGTAGATGGTACAAATTGAACATATCTCTTACACTGTGCTTGAAATGCTTTAAAAAATCTCAAGTAAATATCTCCATTCTTTCTGTTACTGTGTGTGTTGTGTCACATGAGGCAATCCTGTTGCAGACAGCATGTAAAATAGCATTATTAAATACTTCTGAAGATTTAACAGTTGTATCAGCAATTTTGTAGCTGGAAGAGTGAGTTGTTCATAAGATGTAATGACCTTTTAAATTACGTAGTGTCATAGTTGAATGTTTAGACTTCGAGCATGGGCTGGAAAATCTGGCAGTAAACACCTGAGAATACTATTGGGAAATGTTTCCTTTCTTTCTTGGAAACAGTTTATCATTTTTGTCAATTCTGCAAGTGAACTGTAGAGAAAATACATTTTTTCTTCACAGTCGGTCCTGGTAGATTGGACTTCCGTCTTGTCTCTTATTTTTGGTGGATTTCTATACTGGTTATGGTTTATTCTTTACTAATAGGAAGAATGCAATTTAGTATTTTAAAATTGTTTAGAAGTTCCAGAGGAATTTTGCAGAAATCTTTTGTTAAGTCCTTCAGGAAACAAAGACTTTGAAAATCTTTAGAAGTACTCCAGGGCATTTACCTAGATTTCTCGACCATCCCTTGGAGGTGAGAGTAGGGAAAGCGAAGGAGAGCATGCTAATCATGGTTACATCCACAATTTCAGAGAGCAAGGATTCCCTCTGAGTTCTTGCATAGCCAAGGAGCTGAGCTAAATCTGCCAGTGCAACAATGTTTTAAGGACTTTTCTAGTTCAAAGGTATAATGCAGCAGACATGGCTGTTAATGGATTGCTGACATGTAACCTGAAAATTTAAACTTCCATTAATAATTCAATATTTTTAAATTATAATATTTGTGTCTCTTATTGCACTTTTCTGGCAGTGTATATAAGTATTTTAATTTCTTTTCTTCAAAATACATGAATGCAAAGAAAGAGCAGCTTTCTAGACTTGCTTTATTTTCTGTCCTGGAGAAAAGCAGATATTTGCCAAATGTGGGAATTACTTAAAAGAAGTTACAATGAACTGTATTGTCTTTTTATTCCACAGATGAGGAGACACTCCTGCTTTGTTTTTTTGTTCTGTGGGATATTTTTGCCTGGAATCCTTGGTTATCCACAGACAAATACCTCAATTGATTGTGATTCTCTGTTACCAAACTATGAAGCTGAACCACAGACATCTGCACCACCATATATTATTGCTGTATCTTTTGATAGCTTTGAGCCAGGAAATGAAGTCCAAGGTAAACAATCTGAATGACATAAAATCTTTTTCTGCATCTTCCAGAATTATCAATCTTCATAAAAATCCCCCCATTTCCCGCTCAGTCTAGATCATTTATTTTTTAACTTTAAGCTTGTTCCTGAGTTACAGATACCTGAGTTACAGATAAATTATTTTTTGTTTTATATCTGTATATACATACTTGTATAATTGGAAATGCATTCTTTCTTTCTTTTTTCTTTATCTAATAAACATATCTTAACTTTATGCTGTAATTTTTGTGACAAAATTAAAATTATGTGGGACAGCTGGCCAAACTGGACTAATAATTAGTTGCTCTTTAACCTTGTATTTGAGTATTTGCTGTTGAATCAGTCCTCTGCAACACAAAGGGATCTTACTCATTAGCTCTTCACATGCTGTCATCCTACAGGAAAATAAAAATTCAGGGTGCGGTATAAGACAATTTAAGAGTGATACATTTTGAGTCACCCTTCTAAGAGCTGCATCCCAGATTTATCACATTGCAGGAGGTGGAGCTGTTGTGGTTTAAACCACCTTTTTATCTTCCTAATCCTAAATTGCTCTCTGGATGGAGCGTCTTAAGAGCCTTGTTCCTCCACACTATGATGCCATCTCATGGTGCTGTCCCACTTCAAGTAACTTGTGAATGCTTCTTTTTCTAGTCATTCATGCTAGAAGAAGCATTGAAGTGGAAGGAAGTTGTGACTTGTTACATGTCTTTTAGATCTCAGCAGCTGAAAAAAAATCATTATTCACAAGTAGCTATTCTCTAGCTGGGATTCTGTTTTACTTGAACCTAGTAGCATGGACGTACTTCCATGGAGGATGATGTATAGGGAGAAGAATGAAGGAGCCTTAGAGTCCTGTTAACACTGTCCTTCTTGGGAAAACATGTGAAGATCTCCTTCAAGGATGGGAGGGCTCTTCAAATACTCTAAATATTTAAAATTACTTTTGACAGAAAAATGGTGGATGGATTTAAGTATATGCAGACTGTTCAGCAAGTTAAATGAGATTTATCTTGACAAAAATATTGAATCCCAGATGCTACTAACCTTGCCTTTTTTGTGCCTTTTTTCCCTAATCATGGCCTCTTTTAGCAGTCCTTTTTTTGTGCTCCCAACTGTAAGCACCCAGTACATGGTCCCAGGGAGCTGCACTAGGTCCCCTTCCACTGAGACTGTTGCAGTTTCACTATGACATGCCAAGTGCCATTCCTACAAATCATCCCTGATGCATTTAGCCCTGCATTCAAGGGCTCCATGTCATTGCTTCTAGGAGACCTGGGGAAAATTAGTGAATTACAGCTGAAATCTGATGACAAATTGGAAGGCTAATTATGCAGATGTTTGGAAATACTAGATTATCAAGATATGATTGGTCTTTGCCTTGATTTTTGTGTCATTCCCAGTTCATCTGCCCTTGTCTTTAATGCTGATAGATATTTCTGTTCATAAACCATTATTCTGATTTTTTTTGCCAAAGTCCCTAATAATGGAATAAGCAGAGTCCCTAATAATGGAATTAGCAGCAAATTTGGATATGTCATTTGAAATCTAATTTCAGTTTTGATACACACAAAGCATGAAACTACTCTCTAACATATTTTTCTGAACTCCTTCAGTAGCAAAATTTGAGTAATATTGATTATCTCATGTAATTATTAACTTTTCATATTTAATGTAGAACATGGAAGCCAAACTGTAGTTTCTATCTTTCCAGCTGTAATACATGAAAAAGTTTCTGCATTTCAGCCTTATGCAAAAGCTAATTCTTTCTTTTAAAGTAGAGGTAGAAAGAAATGCAATTCTCCTTCTCCTGTAGCAATTTTGACTTTGTAGGCCTAATTGGACAGAAAATAAAAAACCTTTTGGTCAGGAAGGCCAAAGCTCATTTAGTAGAGCAGAATTCTTTTTGAAATTGTCAGTAAATCATAAATTTCATGTTACTTTACAGAGAAGCACCTTTCCAAGTAGTTTCCTTTACCTTTACTGTCATTCTTCTTATAATTAAGAAAAGTGTTTTCAATGTTTTTTTTAGAATTTTACAGGGCTTAAAGTAATTTCTGCACTGTGCAGCATTCTGCACAGTGCAATCTTGTGCCCTGGAGTGAAACAAATTGCAAGGTAAACATTTAGGCAGTTTTAGTGGTATATGAAATTTAAATTTCTCAAAATGCTTCTTTTCACAGTAACTCTAGAAGCACTTGGAGATGCTGGGTTTAAAGGATTTAATCTACAAGCTCGAGAAATAGATGGAGATGTTCCTGTTGGTACTTTTAAAATTACAGATCCAAACACTAAAGGCTTGGAATGTCATAACGTGACGGTATGTGTGAAGTCTTTGGAATACTTTTGGAAGCTTGGGTTTCTTTTGAATGATAGAATAGGGATCATTCTTTATACAGCAAAGTTATTTCATCAGTAAAGTTTAAAAGGTTTTCTCAAGAACTCCATCTATCCTTTATATGTGGTGCAAACCGGAGGTGGAAATTCCTCAGCTCCGTATAATAGGACATCAGTGTTACCTGTTGCAGTAGAGACAGTTTCTGTAATAATGCAGCTAAAAGACACTCTTGCATCTTATATAATTTTATGTATTTCTTTTTAATTGCAGAATTCAGCAGTAAGTCATGCCAATTCAGATGTGAAACAGAAGATTACAACAACATGGATTTCTCCACATAATATTAGAGAGCTTCAGTTTATGTAAATAGTTGTTTTTCTTTTATCTTTTTGCCTTGAAATTTTATTTCTGAGTTGAGATAGACCTTTATGGCTGTTTCAGATATTCTTGTCCATGAGAGTTCTTTTCCATAATTTTCTATAACTTCACATCAAGTTCATTAAATAATATGATTTCCATTTCAAGATTTAATTGTAAAAGTTAAAGTCCTAAAGATCTTAATATATGTAAATAATTCCAGTAAGCATAATGTTATTAATGGATCTTCAAGTAGCCATTTTTTACACTTTGAATTCTTTAATTATAACAGCAACAACATATGAATGTAGCTTCTTCCCTGAAAAAATGAAATTCAGACTCTATTCAGTTATACATTTCTTCATTTTGAACAGGATGGCAGAACATTTTGGCAGGATAATAATTTGATGTAAATTCTTCTAATATAAATTTTAAAGTAAGTGTATGACCTATGAACTAACTCTGAAAACAGGAGAAGACATATTTGGCCTACTTTTAATGCGACATTTTTTGCAGATGTGAAGCTTGTAAAAAGACCACCTACTCTAACAAATACATGCTTGAAGTATATTGGATAACATCTAAATACTTGACAGCTTGTATTGTCTGAACTGCAGATTTTTGATAGGGCCATCTTTGCCTTGCTTCGTTAATTCTTGAGGAATACCAAGAACAGGAAAAAGTATACAAAACCACAATTGCTTCCACTTGTTATTGCCATGAGAATCAGTTCACTATCATAGAGACATTGTCAGAGCATGCGGGACAATGCTTATGGACATTTGTGCCAATGCTCCTCCCTGGAGTCAGTGCTTCTTCAAACAGTGTCTATTCCTCTTCTGCTTGTTCTCAGCATCTGTTTTAGTTGTCTTCAAAATTATGCTGGATGACAATACAAGTCGCTAGAAGGAAAAGCATTCTGTGAAACTTGAGCTGTAAACACTTAAAACCAGAATTGAGGGGATATTCTTGGCTGGGAGAAAAGGGGGACGAGAATTTATTAGTAATTTTTATTGAAATGCTTTGATAGAAAATAAATTTTTTTGTTTTCTTTCTAGTGCAACTGTTGTTCAAAATCTAGAGAACTTTTGGGTTGGAATTCAAAGCAAAACTCTCACACCTACGCATTCTGAGTCAGTTAACGTCACAGGAAAAAGTAAAAGGAAGGTACGTTCCAGTGTATTTGAATGATAGATATTAACACAGTAATTAAGGTATCTTTGGCTTGATACAAGACAAGCACTTGTTGTTATTTATTCATTAACTCAGATGGCCAATATAATTTGATGTTTTTAATAATTTAACTACCTAATCCTCTCATTAAAATGATGAAAAAGTAAAGTGAGTATTATTTTTCTTCAACAGAAATGAAGAAACTAATAATCTAGTTATCAAAACAATCCATGTCCTAAAGCAAAAAAAAAGGAAAATAAAATTGGTTATAAGGAGAACTGTACTGTACTTCTGAGGTACAGTGCTGTTCTTAAATGCTGCCCCAGCCCCTGGGAACTGTAACTGTAGCATATTCTTGAAAGGAGTTGGTAAATATTTTTGCCAGGAATTATGCTTATATGAAACATACTAATCATTGTAAGCTCAATTAAAGAAAGTCTCCTCAAATCTACTGCATTGGACTGCACCAGCACTGATTTATGTGCACTTGTGATGTAACCAAGAGTGAACACCTGTCTTAGGTTTCTCTCTTCACCAAGTGTGTTTTCTGTTCCCTATAATAAGATGCCTTTTTTTTTTTCAGTAAATAATGCTTCCTCTTTTTTTTCCCCCCCACAGTTTATGATAGAATTAGAATGCAACAAGGTAAGAGCAATTTTTCTTCTATTTCCCAATGTCAGTTACCTCAGCTTTAGAATTCTTCTCCTACTGGACCAGTTTTTTCATGTTTGTAGCATGAAGATTCTATTGTACCATTCAGATTACTTTCCTAGCAAGATGTCATTCATGCTTTCATTTTTGTATTCAGTTTTGAATGTATTTTTATTTTGAGTTAGTTAACATCAGTTTGCAGATGAGATTGTTAAAATGTGTAATATATTGTCAGCAATGAAATTGTTGATTTCTTCACTCAGACCATCAATGTGGATTCAGTTGATTTCCTGTTTAAAGTAATTTGATATTTTTACACCAGTCAATAAACAGTAACTGGAACCTGTATTCTCTTGCAGCGTGGAGGGACCTACTCAACAGGCCGGTGCATCATGGTAAATATTCTTTCTCCAAAGACACTGACATGCTGTTAACTGCCCAAGATCTCAAAGCCTGGTCAAAAGTTGCTTCTAGACATGTCCTTATCCCCTTTGTCACTCAATTTTGTTTTCTTTTTGTTAGTTTATCTTTGTTGATTTAAAATCCAAAACTGTCTAAAGGGTTGTCAGCTTTGTTACCATTTCCTTCTGCAGATTCTTTCTGCTTATCTGAAGTAGTTCTGTAATAGAAGTTTTCCTTTTTCTCTTTTCATTCTTTATTCTTAGTGTTTTCTTGCTGTTCAAGATCACTTATTTGAACAGCTCAAAAACCTTGCATTTTGCAAATCATGATCTAGATATAAAATACAGCTATTTGATTTTTTCCTTTGAAACCTATCACTGGCACTCAGTTCTTCGCTTTTTTACAGCAAATATGCTAAAGATTACATAGTCATATTAGTAAAAATCTTCCATCTACTTTTTAATGATTGTTACAGTGTCGCTCTCCTCCTCAATGGTGAACATCAAGTGTATGAGGTCAGATAAAAAAGGATGCAAGCAGCAGAATTATCTTATTTATACAGCTGGATACAGTTTTGTTTATTTGTCTTGAAAGTTCTCTGAAATAATTTTAATAGTATCAGTTGGTGGAATGAAGTCATAGAAAACTACTCTGTGGATTCTTCCTTTTCCCACCAAGTAGAACTTCTTTTCCTGAAAATCGCTTATATAAAAACAAATTTTCATCAAGATAATAAATACCAGTCTGTTTTCTTTGCAGGTTGGACCTTCCAGTTCCTCTCAGAGCACCTATTCAGGCAGTCAGGTATGAGTCCTAAATTTCCAGCATTTGTATGTTTTCCTTCAGTAACCTTGAATCACTAAAATTCTGTAACTACAGAGTAGTGAGGTGATATAATCCTGTACTGAAATCTCTTCTCTGCTAGTTAACACAGAATGGCAGAGGTATTTATCCAGCAAACTGTATGCTTGTACCTAAGTTCAACTACCTCCACTCTGTTGAACTCAACAGCTTTTTCCAGTTTAATGTCTGTATTGCTTTTAACACCAGACTATATTTGCAGTTGAAAATTTGGGGATATCACTGTCTACTTAGACTCTTAAAACTTCTGGGGTATGCGTGTCTGCATTGTCACCACTTTCGCTTCATTAATCACAACAATGTATGCTTGGTTTTTCGTTGATCTCCACCACCATTAATACACTTATTTTCTCTTCGACTTTTAGATACTTTCTGATATGACTCCAGTTTCTTGAACTGAGCTTATCAAAGACATATTTCTTACTACTTGTTAGTGGTTATATTTATTAGTGAATTATCTGGTAATATTCCATTTCTTCAATCTTTACTGCTCATAATGATTTGCCAGATAAAGAGAAATACAAATTATTTTGATATATATGCTAAAACCTGATTTTCTTCCTTGTATGTTTTGAGTTTCTCATCTTGTCATATAACTATTTAAAGTTATTATTTTTTTATAAAATATGAGCCATTCAGTAAATTTTTGAAAGATTTTATGACAAGTGACAAAGATGATGAAAGCTATATGAAATACAGATGATGACTAATGTCTCACACTAAATTAGAATTATTACAGGCAATGCCAGTGAAGTTGTAACCTCTTTATTTGCTTATCCCTTGTTTGCACATACACATTGCCAGCTGTACGGCTTTTCATGCCATAAACAGCATGGCATTGGGTTTCTTCTGTCTTGCCTATATGAGTTTTTTATATGGAAATAATTGACTTCTGTTTTTATTTCAGGGTGGAGTAGTCTACACAATAAGCAAGAGTGGATGTGGCCCTGTAAGCACTATTTTTACATTTTATTTTTTCTCCCCAGAATAACTATATTCATAGTAACTCCTAGCTTTCAATGGCATTATTTAATTAATGTTCTTGTGAGAGTCTCTGTTACAAAAAGGAAATACTGCTGAGAAATAACTGGTTTATTTTTTGTCTTAGGGAGGTGCTGCTGGTGCATACAGCCAACAAGCCTGCAGAGATGTAAGCTGGTTATAGATGTTTTTACTGATTGTCTCTTACTATGCTCCTTAACTGATCTCCTTATTTCAAATTGCCTTTGAGTCTCTTCTGTAGAGCTATTGGAGTCTTCCTAAATATATTCAGGAAAATAGGGTTATCTTATGGTGTTATTCTGAGATTAAAACTAAAAATTAAAAGGTTTTACACTGCCAGTTCGTCAAAGCCTAATAATTTATGTTTTAAGGTGTACACATAGGTGATAGATAATATATCTGATTAGAAAGTCTTAATTTGTTTCCCTACTAAAATGTCAGAATTCTTACTGTGCAATTTTTTTTATCAGGTAAAATCATTGTCTTTGGATGTTGCATATTGTGGAATATTATTAGGGGTTTTTTACAATCTTTGCATATTAACTCTTTGATTAGTAGAGAAATTTCTATTTTCCATCTTATTTATTTTGATTTCACATGAAAACAAATTAATAATTAGCAAATTATTGTATAAATAAATACCTGATCTATATTTTTATTTCAGAGTGCATCTTTATCCAGCAGTGGTCTTACTTATGGCCAGGTAAATGTGTTTTCCAACATGTTTTTAGCTTCTTAAGGTATTCAAAAGCTAAGCAATTTGGCTCAAATTTACCAAACAAAAATTAAATTTGTGGAAGGGAATAAAGGCAAACTGTCTCCAAATGATTTAGTAATTATCATATCTGGAAATAACTTCATCAGGTGAATTACATATTTGGTGTTTGTTCCTATATCTCTACTTCTATTTTCCACCAAAAATCAATTATATTTATTCTATAAATGGACACCAGTTACTTTTATTATGCTTTTCCAAAAGTCAGTGCTTTTTTTGATGCCTACAAAGAACTAAAAGAATTTTACAATTTAAAAGTGATTTTTGCTTATGCAACTGTACTTACTGATTCATGAAATGCAAAACATCACATTATTTTACACTTCATTTGAATAATTTATTTAAACTTTAAATAATTTATTGTTATGACATATCCCAGTCTTTCCAGATTCTATTGCAATGGTAGCTTTTCTAGTTTTGAGAAGATTGTCCTGGAGTTTGGGTTGTTTGGGTTTTTTTATTAAGGTAGAAGAGTTTATTTTTTTTTTTTTCCTAGTGATAGATTATTTTTACTACAAACAAACTTCCAATCTGATGTTAGATGAAACATTTGCAGCTTTCGTACAGTACTCTATAAAACTAGCAAAATAATTTGGCTTTTAGAAAAAAACAAAACCAGCTGATTTATTACACTTGTTCATTTATTAACTGCCAGTACACTCATTTTCTTCAAACTCTTACTTTGATGGTACGTCAGGAGTATCATGTTAGTATAAGGAGAATAGATATACATTTACCTAAGCAACAAATGAATTCTGTATTCTTTACAGTCTGTCCCTTCAAGCAGTTCAGATTCCAGTAAGAAGGTAAGCCTGCCTTTTTTCCAAAGGGAAAAGCCTCTTTTTTTCCAAAGGGAAAAATTCTTACAGTTATAACTTGGCATGACTCCTGTTATTTCAGTCAAGATTTTTAAAGGTTTTAATCCAGATCAATTCATATGATTTGATTTGGTTTGGTTCTTAGAGGTGGGGAGAGCTCCTAATGAGAAAACAACACAGCAGAAGATACAATTATTACATTTGGGTTATTTTTTTTTAAAAATGAATTCAGTATCAAGTACTTTTTATTTTTTATCTTAATACTGAATAAAGACAAAATAAATTGATGTTCTAGTTTGAGGTAGAAAGTTGAGGATCAAAAAGGGCACACAGTTCAGGCCAGTAGATATGGTACAAGACATGAAATCTTGCTTCTGCCTCTATGGCTGAGTCATTATGTGGTTTGGGGCAAATCTTATATCTGGTTATACTCTTGGTTAAACTATGTATAAATACGTATCATTCTCTGCTTGGTGATGTGCATTGATTTTTTTAATAAAAATACTATTTTATAAAAGGGGATTTTCCATAGCATTATTATCAGAGTTTGTAAATTTACATTTTAGTATTATTCTTCATTTTTCTGACATATTGAAAAGCTTAAATAATCTCTATGGCAAGTTAACAGCTCCCTCTGGTTTCTCCATAGGTAGTGGTTGTTGCCAACAGCAACCCTTTTCCACCTGTGGTAAGCTGTTTTTCTCTACAATACATGTTTTCTCTACAAATCATTTTGACTCAAAAACTTTAAAATATCTAAGTATTTAATTTTTCAGAAATATTACAGGAGACAATTTTTTGGCAGGCAGGATTTACTCTATGTGTATAGTTATCTTCAGGGAAGGCTTATCATAAGATAGGTACAAACTTTGTGGTACTGTGATTGCTGTTAATACTTGTAGGGACAATGGATTAACTGCAGACATCAGGTCCCTCCATGTATGCAGTCTCTGTGTTCCTGAATAATTTTTGATTTTCTTTTTCTATTGCAATTTTCTTCTGAAAGTTCACTTCCATTCTCATTTTTAAATTATTACATTTCCACTCTGCTTACTTGGAACCAAGACTAAGTTTAGCGTTCAGGTACTTGAAAGTGAGCTTTATAATGTAATATTTTATATATGTTTAATTTCTAATAGAACATATTGTTCTAACCTGAATAAAGGTTAAGATGCACTTGCTCTCTATCATCCTTTTTATATCATTCCTTCACATTCCACTATTTATCACATCTGAAATATGAGGGCCCATTTTCCCTTTTTCTGCTGCAATATTCTGTTTGGGCAATCCCTTGTGCAAAATAATGAAAGATTTTTCTGTTCTTTGCAGCGTCACACCTTCCCTCAGGTAAGAATACTTTTTCTTCTGATTCCTGTAGTACCATTATAGTTCTATGGGTTCAAACCAATTGTCTCAGGATGGTGTGTGTTATTCTTTTACATTTGTCCCCCATGCCCCAGAATTCAGCAAAAAAATGCCAGGATGAGGAAGAGGGTTTGTATGTGTTGATGTATGTGCAGTGCAGGTGACAGTGAAACAGGTTGGAGGGGTGATGATGTCTCAGCTTCTCTCCCCACATTTGGAAAAGCCAAGCTGACTGCTAGTGCAGAAAGGAAGTGCACACAACCTGTGCTCTGCTGGTCTCCACAGAAAATGTAAGAGTAGAAAATTACTTAGTGGGGTCAGTCTGCATCCCCAAACCTTCAGAACGGAGAATAAACTAGCTTAATGCTGGGTGTTAAGAACTGATACACGGTAACACATACAACCTTTCCCTCTATTCTCATGAACTGAATAATTTAACTTAGTATTTCTGTTCTAGTGCACTGCATTAAACAAATCAACTAAATGTGCTATATTATGTCTCTTTGTTTCTGGATTTATTTCTTTTCAGAGTTTGGGAAGCTCTGCTACGAGGATCATAGTACAGGTAGACATTTTTTCTCCATTATACTTGAGTTTTAAATGAGGATTTATCTGAGTAAACTAAGTAATAATTCCTCTCTTAGGGAACAAATAAGTGTGGATAACTTGGAATTATCTTAGATGTCCACAAACTACAGTGGTGCAGTAGGGCATTTCTGTGGCTATAACAAAGGGGATTCTTCACTGGTTGCTGAATAAAGACTATTGCAGCTGTTTTCCACACTTAAAAAATTTGAAACCTTCTGTATGAAAATTCCATTGTGCTCTCAAAATTGGCAAAATTTGAGTGTCTCGGTCTGCTCAGGAAGGGGGATTTAATTCTAGAAATAAAGCTTGAATGTTACTCTGTATCAAAGCAAGTACGAATTGCAACCTGCACAGTTCTATTTTCATTTAAACAGTCCATTTTTTTAATGGAAACACCCAGTTCAGAATTACATTTTTACATGTAAAATGCCTTTAATGCTTAAGTGAATTGCTGTATCTCTAATGTTGCTGCTTGATAACCAGGCACTTTGAAAGCTGATTGCAATCTAATCTCATTACAAATATGCTTATAAAGTATTATGAATATCATTCAGACATATTTGTTTGCCATTTTAGCATCCATCCCACTCTTAATGGCTAGTCAGTCCATTAGATGCTAGTCCATCAGACTACAACAAATTCTCACTTTCATTGAAAGATCAGTCACAAGTTATCCCAGCTGAATTTTGTCTTTCTGAAGCCATTGCTTTCGAAATGCTTAGCATTATTGTCTTCCTTGACTAGTGATTAATGCTGGCAAAGAAAGGAATAATATTTCCTTGTTATTTTGTTTCTGACTTTAAATGCACAGTGTTTTGACTATGCAGGTTAACTGTTTTCAATGTGTAAATATAAAAAATATTTTTTCCTCTCATAATCCACATATTTTGTGGAAATCAAAATACATTTTGCAGTGACTTTTCCTTACATTAAATTGTAACTGTGGATTTTTCAATTTTTGTTTTGGGAAAGCCTTTGCCAAAAGTTTGTTGTGCTTATTAATGAAAAAATATTTTATTTGTCATAATACAAATAAAAAAAGAGTTTAAGGCAATTTGTGAGGTACATTTGAAAGGCAGAATTCTTTTAACTCACTTCAAATAGCACAGTATGATACAAAGATGTATTATACATTTAATTTTCATTAAGAAAACCATATCAAGATACACAAATACTTTTAACACTTTATTTGTGTAGGATTTTTATATACATTTTATAGCACGTGGAGATGGCATGAAGTAAGAAAGGGTGTCATGAACTCTTTGTGGCTTTCAAACTGTCCAGCAGAAAGATGGACAGAGTTGCTTCTTGAAATACCTTAGTGCATAAGAAATTACTCTTAAAAATAAATAACCATTTATTTCTTTCCTAAGCAGAGTGGACAAAAACAGCAAACCAGCAGCAGTACTTATATTCAGGTAAGAAAACTTAAAAAGTGTTATAAATATTCTAGACTTTACTACAACAGGGCCCAGCACAACTTAGAAATAAATTATTTTCTGCATTTAAAAATGGATTTCTCAGGTGCAGGTATTTCTATTTCCCTGGCTTTTGCTCATGAAAATAACATCTGATGTTGGTGTTAAAATTATTCTGTTCATGATGCTCACAGATGCATTTCCATGTGTGACAGTCTGACATGAAATGAGTGTATTCCACTCAGAGCATAAAGGTCATGGCTCTGGGAGGAAATAACTCTAGGTTCATTATCACACCATCAGCCCCATACTGATAGATTCAGAGCCCATGCATATTAGACTTCAAATTCCAAAATTTGTAAAGGGTAGTTGCTGAGCCATATCAAGAATGATGAAAAATCATAATCATGGAACTATGTGCAATGTCTTCCAGCATTGCTTAAAGCCATGAAGATAAAGCAACTTGCGTGAAAAAAAAAAAAAGAAAAGTGAGGGAATTTTAGAAAATACACAGTGACATCATAAATTATTGCAAACTAAAACTTAAGGATATTGATAGCATGAACTCAACTATGAAGACCCTTTAGGTCCTCCTCCTCTTGAGGGCTGTAGGTAGGAGGGATGCAAAACTATCAATATTCTCTATAGCAGTACATGCAAACAGAAAACTGTTTCTAAAGGGTAGGTATGACTTTTAGGGATCAGGGCCACAGGGAGGCCACTGCTCAGCATCACAAATATTCGATAAACACAAGGTTGGCAGTCATGGCTTCTGATGAGAATAGGACAGTCTATTGCAGGGCTCTTAGCACACTGCTCTATCTCCTTTGTATTTTTTGAGATATCCCTATGCAGCTGTACTTCCATAAACACTACGCTCTTTAAAGAAGCCTCCTTGTCAAAGTGGTAATTATCTTCTCTTTATTTAAAGGGTTCCCAAGGCAGCCAGTCCTATAGCCAGGTGAGAATTTGTTGCTGAAATGTGTTAAGCTTTTCTGTCAAAGCCTGTCTTGTAAATGGGCTGCAGGGTGTGGGCAGTTTTCTTCCTTTCTTAATGTCTCTGAGTGGTGCTTAATTTTGGTTTGTATCACTGAAATATCATGAAGGAAACATTAACAGTGTACAGAGGAAATGGACTTTTCTGTTGCTGCTGCACTGAGACAACACAACTTGGTTTACAAATATCTTCCTACCTTCCTTACAGGGCTACAGACCTCAAAGTGGCAGTTCCTATGGTCAGGTAAGCATCAGTCCGTCACCAGTCAGAACTGAGCATTTCAGAAATGAAGCACCATAAAGGCACTCAGCAGGCCTTCAGAATCTGAACTTTAAACAACATTGTCTCTGAAAGTGTCTCTTCTCACTCAACATTTATGCATATGCTGCTTGTTGATCTGGAATGCCAGTGTGTGAAATCCTTACACTCAGCATCCTCCTGAGAGCCAGAAGACGCCTGGCTCTGCATACTGCCCTGCATGGCTTTAGGATGTAGTTGCTTGCTGTTGCTAATGCAGGCTGGATCCCTTCCTGAAAGGGAAGTAACCAAATGGTGTCCTTGTCTTAGGGTGGACCAAGTTTCTCAGGCAGCAGCAGCTCCTATGGCCAGGTAAGCCAACTGGCTGCTCTGCAGGAAATTCTTCACTGATCTCTCTGGCATGACTGGCAGACTTTTGAGAGTGATGTTTCTTTTGGCAGTCTGTGCCTCAACTTGAGCTGTGGCTGCTGCTGCTGAGAGTAGGGCAATGTGCTGCACAGATGTCCAGCTCTTAGCATGCTGCTCTGTGTCCTTTAGCACAGGAAGAACCTTTCAGGGAATTCTGCATGCATCTGTATTTCCATATGCATCATGAACTTTAAAGAAGCCTCCTTGTCAAGGTGTTAATTATCTCTTCTTTATTTAAAGGGTTCCCAAGGCAGCCAGTCCTATGGCCAGGTGAGATTTTGCTGCTGAAATGTGCTGAGCTTTTCTGTAGGAGCCTGTCCTATAAATGAGCTTTGGGGTGTGGGCTTTTTTTCCCCTCTTCTGAGAGGTCCTTGACTTGGTTTGTAACACTGAAATAGCATGAGAGAAAAAATAGCATAGTACAGAGGACCTTTAATGGAAGTGGGCTTTTCTTTCTGGTATTCTGTGATTCTGTGTTGCTGATGTGCTGAGACTATACTTACACAGCTCTTTTTACAAATGAATTTGTGCCTTTCTTACAGGGCTACCAGCTTCAAGGTGGCAGTTCCTATGGACAGGTAATTGTCAGTCAGAATAGAACATTTGGGAATGTGAAGTGCTATTGCCCTGAAAAGTTACCAGATTTAAAAATGTTCTGTTTTCAATTCATATGGAATTCTTAACCAATGTATCTCTGAATCCATTTAAAATATTTTGTTGGGAATGTGTTCATTGTGATTTTCATGGATAGATACAGGAATCCTAGATTTCTTCTGCTATCTTACCTTAACCATGGGTTTGAAACTTCAGAAATTTGTGGTAGAAATAGTCTTTTTGATGATGTTCCCATTCCAGTTGATGTCACAAATTTATAGTCAGTTCTTGCTGCCTCCTTTGCTCTCAGCAGAGAAGTATTGTTGAGAAACTGCAGAACATGGGGTCAGGTTCTCAGCTGAATGAAGGGTTGGTCTTGGAGCCTGCAGGCAATGAATGTCTACCTCCCTTCACATTTTTTGTGTAAATTAAAGCAGCCCTAAAACAGCTATTAATTTTGTCAGAATCTCTATGTCAGATAACAAAGATAGACAGGATACTTCAAATACTTTTTGGTAATCCCTGTTTTCGTAACTCTCCCAGGCAGCTGGGCACAGGTCTGCATGTACATGAAACAACTGCTCTTTTTTGAGATTATATTGAAAGCAAATTGCAACAGCAAGTTGCAACCACAATACCTTTATATTACTGATAATATTTTTAAAAGTGTGGTCATCCATGGCAAATTTATTCCATCTTTGGATTGCATTGGTTTGTTTACATTTTATGAACCTACATTTTTTCTAAGATTATTTTCTAATTTTTAAAAATTATTTTTCACCCTGATTTTCTTTCAGAGGCAGGAATTTTGCAACTGGGGCCAAGGAAAAATATGAATATATGAAATCAATATTTACCTAGTATGCAACATTAGCCATCTCAGCCCATTGGCTGAAAAACAGAAGGAAAAATAAATATAATAAGAAAATGTTGTGTCCCTTTCTGGAAAACTCTTATAAGATTAGAATAATGTCTCAGACAGATGTCACTCTGCTCTATGATTGTCACTCAGTAAACACACTGTGATCAACTATTTCTCCAGAATAAGAAATGTCAAAATAACTCCAGTTAAGCAGTCTTGTTCTGTTTTCTTACCCCAAAAATAGACATTAGAGAGGCATCTGCTTCACATATACAATAACTATGAATCAATCATTAATTTCATACAGGGCTACAGACCTCAAAGTGGCAGTTCCTATGGTCAGGTAAGCATCAGTCCGTCACCAGTCAGAACTGAGCATTTCAGAAATGAAGCACCGTAAAGGCACTTAGCAGGCCTTCACAATCTGAACTTTAAACAACATTGTCTCTGAAAGTGTCTCTTCTCACTCAACATTTATGCATATGCTACTTGTTGATCTGGAATGCCAGGTGGACACTCAGCATCCTCCTGAGAGCCAGAAGACGCCTGGCTCTGCATACTGCCCTGCATGGCTTTAGGATGTAGTTGCTTGCTGTTGCTAATGCGGGCTGGATCCCTTCCTGAAAGGGAAGTAACCAAATGGTGTCCTTGTCTTAGGGTGGACCAAGTTTCTCAGGCAGCAGCAGCTCCTATGGCCAGGTAAGCCAACTGGCTGCTCTGCAGGAAATTCTTCACTGAGCTCTCTGGCATGACTGGCAGACTTTTGAGAGTGATGTTTCTTTTGGCAGTCTGTGCCTCAACTTGAGCTGTGGCTGCTGCTGAGAGTAGGGCAATGTGCTGCACAGATGTCCAGCTCTTAGCATGCTGCTCTGTGTCCTTTAGCACAGGAAGAACCTTTCAGGGAATTCTGCATGCATCTGTATTTCCATATGCATCATGATCTTTAAAGAGTTAATTATTTCTTCTTTATTTAAAGGGTTCCCAAGGCAGCCAGTCCTATGGCCAGGTGAGATTTTGCTGCTGAAATGTGCTGAGCTTTTCTGTAGGAGCCTGTCCTATAAATGAGCTTTGGGGTGTGGGCTTTTTTTTTCCTTCTGAGAGGTCCTTGACTTGGTTTGTACCACTGAAATAGCATGAGAGTAAAAATAGCATAGTACAGAGGACCTTTAATGGAAGTGGGCTTTTCTTTCTGGTATTCTGTGATTCTGTTGCTGCTGATGTGCTGAGATTATACTTACACAGCTCTTTTTACAAATGAATTTGTGCCTTTCTTACAGGGCTACCAGTCTCAAGGTGGCAGTTCCTATGGACAGGTAATTGTCAGTCATTTATAGAGCATGTATGTGATGTTCCCATATACGTATTGAGAATTCTGTGGTTTGTTACTTGAAATAATATAATAAGTAACTCTTTAGAATTAAGTCCCATAATTTTTTTTTCACATGGCTCTGGCAACAATAGTCTCACTGGAGCATCATTTTCCCCCGTAGAAAGGAGTGCATGCAGGTGTCAGCTTTCTGATGCACTTTAGTATTCAACATACTCAGCACTTTACCAGATAATACACAGTAGGATATAGTTGGGTTTGAAGAAGTCTGACAGCTAAAGCCATTGAAAATTCATGTATGTGTTTAAAATACAAGGAGAATAGGAATATTTGGATCATGAGCTATTCTTTTTTTTCCCAGCAGGGCGGATCTGTTTCTTATGGTGGCAGCAGTGGTTGTGGACAAGTAAGATGTTTTCTCCAAACTGTTTAAAAACCAGACTGAGTTTTCTTTACAATAATAACATGTTTTTATAATGTTTCTTAGTTTGAAATCTATTGTTTTCATTGTTATGTGAACTTATCTAGCACAGAGTTCAAGAAATGCTGATATTGTTTGCCATTGTAACCCATATGAAGTGGCTCCTCCCATTTAGAGTTACACATGGAAAACAAACAGTTCATCTGTCTCCTCAATAAGAATATAAAATCTTTGCACAGGAATTTTTGGATGTTACTCCATTTATTTTCTCTAGAAAATGATAGGATTGGAGAGTGGCTCAAATGGAGTAAGAATTAGATTAGTAGTTTTCGTCCTGGTTCCATTTCAACTTGTATGTCTAAAATGGTGTAAAGACATTGTCTTCGATGATGAGATCCTAGGTGAAAACAGCATAAATGAGGCCAATAGTAAACTTACCTTTGAATAAACATATTGACCAAATCAACCAGAATGAAAGATAAGTATGAAACCAGGCGTTTTTAGAAGTATTAGGATTGATGTGAGTTCGGCATGAATGGAAATGCATCTGAAAGCATCACAAGGAGCAGTACAACAAGGACACAGTTACCAGCAATGAAACTGATAAACACTGAAGAATGGGTGATTTCCACTATGTGGTGTCACAGGCTGACTTATCAAAAGAATTGCTGTAATCATGGGAGGGTGAAAAACAGGGAAGAACTCTCTCTGCGTACTCTTCATCCTTTTCTCACAAAATATACCCAGGCAAATGAATTGCTCTGAACAGAAACCTTGCCTAAAATCCATGGTGGTGAATCTAGCCTGAGATTGATGGTCACATTTAGATAGATGGTCACCCAGCTGTAACAGTTACTTCCAAAAAACCCCACCAGCAGTTCATCTTCACCAATCAAGAGGAACTAGGATGATGCAGATGGACATCAATTATCAACCTACCTCTTTCCATGTGGCTCACAAGTATTTCTTTGATCATCTATGTGCAAGTGTCTTGATGCTTGTATGGGGGTATGAGAGTGACAGAGGGTAAAGCCACCCACTTAAAGGGTTAAGTAAAATTAAACTCACCCTCTGTAAAGTTATATGTTGAGTTTCGTTACACTGATTCTCACTTAGGAAAATTTAAGGAAGCTAATTACTTTGCAAGAAAAATGTCATTTACCTTTTTGTTTGGTTGTTTTTTGACAGGGTGTCTCCTATGATAGCAATCCCTGTCACCAGGTAAATGGTCTTTCTCCTCTTATTTTAGGATGCATTAGAAATTAGTTTTGCCACTAAACCAATTCGTTCCAAATTCAGATTCATATTGCACAAATCCATGTAATCTTATACATTTTGAGATTAGAATTCACTATCTTCCTATTCACAGGAGCGTCACGGGGGCTTTGAAGTCTTTTTTGCCACTTTTTCCTAGCATTACATTTTGAAATATTTAATTCTATAGAACATTAAGGCCAGATTCTGGAAAGAAGAAGTTTGCTGCAGAGTTGTTCCACTGGCATGACTTAAATCAAGGCTGGAGCTCACCAGCTTCTCTCTTCCTGTCAAAATCCAGAAAATATTTTAGAACCGCCATTCAAGGTCCCAGAAACAAACTGAGTTTGTGCAGTGAACTATAGATAGCCACCTGTGTATTTGTTACAAGTGGAGCTGTACAAACCACTATCCTAAAAGATGTCAGCTAGGTTTAAAGAAGTCATCTGTGATGTTAAAAATTAAGCAGAAAATGGCAACAGATCAGTTCCTTTTTATTCATGATACTTCTTTTGATTATTACTGAGTTTTCACAAGAAACAGTAAAATTGGACAGATTAATTGCTTCAACAAATGCTGTTTTTTAGCATTATTATATATATATACTATATATAAAAATATATTCTATATTTATATATAGAATATAAATACTTACTATATGTATAAGTATGCAAACAATATCGATGTTGTTACAATATATTATTATAATGTGGTACAGCATATACAATGCACTGTACGTAATATATTATTGTAACTTGACAGAATTATATATTAAATAGGTAGATATTATTTTATAATAGCTTTTAATTTTTTAAGAGGACTTAGTTCTTTTTAAGACTAAAGAAAATGCTTAAATTTTATTCTAAAATCTTCTAGGACATTGAAAGATAATACTTTTCATTTAATTTTTCATTCAGTGTTCTGAATGAAGCCTCAGTCCCATTTTAGAGAATGGAAAATATCCCACTTACTTCAATAGTTCATTATTTCACTATTCTATTTATGCAAATTTGACACTAAAACTTCTACAAATGTCTTTTCTGATTTCACTACAAGGAGTTACATTCCTCTATAAAGAGGGCACATTGAAACATACTGTGTGTTTTATTTAAAACCTTTTCCTCAAGGCCACTGTATCTCAAAGGTCACAGCTTTGTGTAATAATGCTACCAGGGGAATTTGTATTAATTCATTCCATTTGTATAAATTAGGTTTTCTATAGCAGAAAAAAAATGATACATTCTCTAGAGAGTGTTCAGAATGGAACTCATCTGTGCACTAGACATTAAAGTTAGATGTTTGACTTCTTTGATTTATGTCTCATCTAGTATTTACCATTGCACTACTGGCAATCTGTGCTCATTACATTAGAAATAATATCCATATTGTATATCTGCCTCTGCTTCTTACTCTTCCTAAGCAAGTATCATAGCTTTCAAAAATATTCCATGGCCAAACAATGAGTTATAAAGCATTTTTGTCTGATTTACAGGGTGGATCACAGGGTGGTCAGGTGGGTACATCTTTATTATCCATTGGTAAAAACTTTTAAAGCAAATCTAATCCACACTACAATTCTCTTGCGCATGGGGATATAGATTCTTGCAGAGTCTCTCAGTGTCCAGTCTGTAAGTCATTCTCCGCAAACATACTTTTTATTAGCTCTGAAATTCCACTTACATGAAAGTGGAAGTTGCATAGAACTTCCATAGAACTCAGCAACTTAGGACAGCTGTATGCTTTCAGATAAAATTCAGCTTTCCAGCATTATGACTATTGCTGTTTTGTTTTCACAGGGTGGTTCATATTCCTCACAAAACTATGGTGGTAGCCAAGTAAGTATTGCCTCACCACAGAGGTTTTATGATGGTTTTAACTTCTGTGATGACTGATCAATATCTGATCAGCAATATGGTAATCTAAATTCTAATTATTTTGTTGTTGTTGTTTCTTAGCAGAGTGGATCATCATACTCCCAAAATTATGGTGACAACCAGGTAGGTAGACAGTAAGAGAAAACCTTACCAGATTTTCTCCTGATAAGAATTTTTATAATACTTGATAATTTATCCAAATGTCTTGAAAATTGTATTTGTTCAAAACAACCTAGGAAATTGTTTATTCTAGCTTTACAGCCTCTGAACCAAATCACAGTTTCTTCTGAAATAGAGTTTATATTTGTTTGTTTCATAGGATGGATCCTACTCACAAAACTATGGTGGTGGCCAAGTAAGTAATACTCTATTTCACTACTTACACATCTCTTCATATAAACTTTAGCCTCTGCTCAAAATCAGGTTTTCTATATTCTAACTTTCTCCAATTTTGATTGGTTTTTTTGTTTCTTTTAAAGGGTGGATCATCCTCAGACACCTATTATGACAGTCAGGTAAGTAGTTATTTCTTTCTCCTAGTTACATATTATTTGTAGTCCCTGCATCAACTTTCTCAAAGATCTAATAAAACATAATTTTTTCTGCGCTCTCTGTGGTTTAGATTTGTTTTGCTGGGGTTTTTTTTCTTTACTGAAGATTGGAACATTCCCTGTCAGCTACTACTGCAACTATGGATTTGGCTCCTTTTTGTCTTATAAAGACCCTAATTAAATTTGACTCAGCTTCTTCTTTGCATGAGCATCTCTTCTGTCTTGTAAAATAAACATGAAAGTGCATTTTTAGCAATTAATTTTTGTGAGGAAATAACTGGTATCTTATCTCCTTCTAGGAGTCACAAGATTCCTCATATGATAGTAATCCCAATGCTTGTGATGATGTGAGTATGCTTTCCCTAATATATTTTCATTACTATATTTTTCACCACAACATTTTTCATGTAGATGAGAAAATATTGCTCTGCTAGATGCAGTCTTTGAAGCAAAATGATCCAAAAAAATGCCGAGTTTCCACACTAACAGCTGTTTCAGCAACTGCCTCTTGCTGAAAATTTTCACATATATATTTACAGATACAGATAGTGTTTTTAAATGCTTTTAACTTGATGAAATGAAATATGAATAAAAATATTTCAATGGCTTTGTAGTAACAGATATTTTTGTCAAATCTAAGGGTGCATTTTACATTAATGTTATTACAATGTTTTTCAGTTTGGAATGGTAGAATTTCAAACTAATTTAGACAAAACTGTGGAGAATGGGAGCAATAAGTAATTTTTGCTATGTCTGTATGTAGCATCAGAAACAATTTGTTTTCTTTAAGCTTACTTTATTTAAATAATTCTTAAAAAAAGGAAATCATGTATTCTTTTCCAGAATGACATAACCTATAGTGCCAATAGTCAGGTAAGCACTTTGTTTGTTCTGTAGTGTTCAAATTCTAATGATTAATGACAGTGTTAGTAACTGAACACTTCTATATTAGACTTTTAGTATATGATTGCTTTATAATACTCTTCAAAAAGTTAATGATTTCTCAGTACTCAAGGCTGCTGCACAATTACTTCTAATAAGATATACATTTTCTTCAAAATTGATCTACTTTGACTGGATAATTTGGGAATTAACCACCTGTGTACATGAGACATGTAGCCATCTCAAGCTTTTCTCACTTGTTCAGATTTAATGTTACTTACGTGCTGCTGTTGTAAAATAACATTTGTGCCTGGTATTACCCACTATTACTTTCTCTGTCAAGATTTTCCATCTGTCTTACAAGCAGAAACAGTGATTAACATGAATAGATTGTGACCAAGCAAATACGCTATTGTGTAAATAAATTACATTTTCTCTATTTGTTTCTGTTCATGAAGCTTATTCCATCTGTCACAGCCTCCTTTTGTTTTACTGCCGTCTAGAGTAACCTGTCATCAGCTACTTGCCTTTTCAGTTCTCAGCCATTCACTATTCTGCTTCTTTGTTTTCCCTATTTTAACTCTGTAGGACTTAAGTACTGCACCAAACTTATTTTAGAAAGTACAGAGGCCTTATGAAAACATCTTTTGTTTTGGCTTGTATTTACCCTGAATGCATTGCACTAGGTTCAATTCAAAATGTTCTGAAAAAAAAATCCTTCATCAGCAAGCTCTGTTTAGGAGCCTCCTCACTTCCTCCTTTGTTCATGAAAGATGTTAGTATTCCCTTGGTTATCTCCATCCAGTCTGTATGGCTGGACTGCATGGTAAAAGAGTTGGCTTCTAAATTTTCTCACAACGAAGGACAGGGAATGCTAAAAACTTTAAAAAACAAAAAAGGAGAGAGAGAGAGAAAGGATCCTTATACCGATTGTATACTAAACTACAGTGGTACAGCTGAGGGAGACTCCCCTAAGCAGGAACTTCTGTTGGAAGAGAGAAACTGAAAACAGAAAAAGAATATGCTTTTAAATACTCTTACTGCTGATAAAAGGAAATCTCCAGACATTTGCCTTTTTTGCTTTTTCCAAACATCACCTTGACAGTGAAGTAGTAGATTTTTGCTAAAATATTTAATGTAGACAACTACAGCTATAAAGCACTAACAGGCTTGTGGCTCCTTTGCAGCGTTCAGGTTGTACAAAGAAGAAAGTTGTTGTTGCCCGAGTAAGTAATACTTTTTTTCTTCTACTTTTTGCCTGTTTGTAGGATTTTAGTCCCAGCTATACCTAATCTGTCTTAATTATACCTATCTTTTCTCTAGTCAGGTTTATAGTAGTTAATACCCTCCTACATAAGGGAAAAGTAAAATAAAATTACTTGGGTGTTTGGTCTTTGGATGAATCTCTTTAAAGGAGGTATTTGTATGAAAAAAAAAAATACATGAAAATCATGCTTTGAAGTATAGGGCAGCTCAAATTTCTGTTCTTCATTAAGCATATACAGAGTTGGTCCAAGCTTAAGTTAAAATTAAATGAGTATCGTACAAACAAGAACAGCCAACATTTTAGCTGAAGGAAGACAGAATAATAAGTAAGAAATAATAGTGTTTCTTAATTTATTATGCTCACTAGTTGTGTAGGAGATACAGACACCTGTATTGTATAGTTGCAAGTCAGACTCAGCAGTAGCCTATAAAAACTATGTGCAAATAGCCTTTATTTTATAATTATGCTTTCCTACTCAATGTATACAATAATGGGTCTGGAGCACTTATAAAGATATTATAAAGAAATAATATGGAAGGGAAAAAAACCCTATCACTGATCATGGAATTTTCATCTTCTAATTGTAAATGTTATTGTTTTTTAACAGGACACATCACATGTTTTAAGCAGAAGAGCCTATGATGTACAGGTAAACTATTCCTGTCCCTTTTTCTGAGCTACTGCTGGTAGTAGTAAGCTTATAGCTCCTTGTGTATTACCTACAAAGCAGAAGGATCTAGTGTCCACAAAAAAGAACTGATTCTCTTTAGGGTTAGGTAGCTTTTTTTCCTAATAGAACTATGCATTTTATTTTATTACCCTTACAGACACCTGTCATTTTTTTTGTTTCTTTACAGAATGCATCTTCTTCAAATAGCAGCCACTCTGACATGCAGGTAGTAATCTAGTGTCAACTGTATGATATCAAGGAGTTTTCTGATAAATTATGTTTCATTTTGAAAGTTATATTCCAGTAATTTTTCTGGGCTGAAGGATTCTGTTTTGATTTGACAGCATTTTCCCTATAATGTTATAATTTTGCACAGTTGTAAACAGTGATATTAGGCTTACAATACACAGATTCTTCTATTCCTTCACCCCACTAAGCAGATAAGAATTGCAGGTGTTTCTTTGCATAACATTCTGTAAAATTAGTTTGAAAAACGTGAACTATATAGTTTCAGATTATTATTTTATAAACATTTTTGCATTCTTGATTGTAATGGCCATACATAGTTTCATTTTGCATTTGGTAAGTAGGTACATCTTAGGGATTACATACTTCTGTTACAAAAGTAGGTCCAACTTTCATATTCTGTAGGATTATGTACTGCTGCAGCAGTGTTTATATTAGAGAATTAATGTGAAGTTTAACTGATGCAGAGTGGCACCTTGTTCTGCTTTTCTTACTATCTTGGATTTGTACCCAACAGCTTCCCAGGAGTTTGAAATCCTGCTACACCCAGTATTAAGTAGATTTAACAGTAGCATAGTCCTCTGTCTCAGAGAGTTTGAAGTTTAATTCAATATTGCAGACAGATCTGTGAGCTCTGGAAGGTTCTTTAATTAGTTTCCCTAATGCCTATTCCCTGTGAATTGTATCAAGCCACTTAATTAGGTTTCATCCAAATCTATATTTTCACAATAATTCAAAAGGTTATGTTAATTGGTGCAGGGAAGTAATAGAGTTTGTAATAGCGTTTTTCACTATTTAGTTTTATACTTTAGATTCTAATAAAATGCTTTAATAAAACATAATTGTTTCCTTCACAGGGTGGATCATTTATTGCAACCAGTGGATCAAGTAATCAGGTCAGGATTTTCTTTATTTTGAGCTAGTCTTGTTCAGATAGCTTCCAAGTAATTAAACTAATTAAATTCAGAAATAGGAATTTAAGTAATTTTACATTGGAAGATTGGTGATGCTATCCATTAATTTGTAAATGAAGTGACCCTATTCATATTAAATTTATCAGAAATGGCTGTCTGAAATAACTTTTTAGCACTGTTTCAATATAATGTGTTTTACGGGTGATAGCTCAATGGGATACTCCTGACCTGAAACTTCTCTCTTGCTGAGGCATCTGCCATTGAGATATCCCACTGAGAGATGAGCTATCAGACTGGCTTCCAAAGCAAAGGTTAACTGTACAGCTGTGCTGTCCCCTCACTTGTTCTAGGTACAGCAAAGGTCACACCTCTGCAGTCCCACAGACTTTCTTCCCTTAAACAGTTTTGCATCTGAAATAAGATTTTATTTTAAATTTCCACAAAGCAATAATTGTTTCCTCTTTTTAAAAAAATTTGTAGGGTGGCTGCATTTGTCCTGATGGAAGCAGCGGTCATAGACAGGTAATTATTTTCCTGTGTTTATACTTCCTTCTACATAATGGAGTATTTTGAATTAATCACCTTGTAAATATGGACATTTGGTTAACACTAATGACGATTTCCTTAGTATGGGTAGAAGTATATACAATTAAATGAAAGAATGAGCTCCACTTAGCTGCATAATTACCATTTGATCACTAATTTTCTGTAACTATGCTTGGTGATCCACATGCCCTGTCACTTGACTATTGTGTGCCATCTATTAATTGTTTTCAAAAACCAGTCAATATACCTAGTAGTAACCACAGTACTTAATTGTATCCATCTTAGTTTCCTTGTCCTTCTCACTGATGCAATAAAATACTGTGACTAAAAATATCAAAATATGATAAATATTTCAAAATACAATCTCTTAAATAAGCATTTAAACCGTCCTTTCCCCTAAAGAGAATCACTTAAATTTCAATGTCAGTTGCACTGGATAAACTTTTCTCTTAGGCAATTACTCTGGACCAGGAAAAAGGCCAAGAAATGTGCTTATGTGGGCATTATAGGCTAGCTTTACCAGGCTTCTGGCTTTTAAAGCCACCTTAGATTTCAAAGTAACCTGTCTTGTACCAGGATACATACTTCTGAATCTTTTATTGAAGCTGTATGTAACCAAACCCACTTGAATGGTGTAGTATTTTTTCAGTTTTGGATTTCAACAAGAAACATGTTGTGAATTATTCTTTCTGTAAAAGCCCCCAAGCTATTTAAACAAACTAATTGTATAGAGAAATTACTGCTTTCTGAACTTAACTTCATTAACTTAAAATATAGCAACATCTATTTTGGTCAGGTACAATACTACCTCTTTGATCTAATTGAGGCTAAGCAGCAATCATGGCCTACATGCTTTAAAACATAAACTAGGCTATTAAAATAAATAATACTGAAACTTTATTAAGGAAAAAACTTTTTATTTGTTGCATGATTGTATAAAAAAATCCATTTATAAGGAAAAAGGTGGAGATTTTTACGCAAGTGTTTTCATTCTAATAAACATTTTTCTTTGCACACTTTAATTGTTGCAAAAAATGTTTTCAACAGAAATCTAGCACAGCTTGATTGAGGAGAGTGTTTTTAGTTGCTATCAACAAAAATTTTCAACATGAAGAAAATAAGACATCAAAATTGGACAGATTAGAAAACCAGTTCTCAATGCAGATGTGTCAACTTTGATAAACAAGAGACTTATTTTCCAATTTGCAATCTTATCAGCTGATCAAATTAATTTCTGGTATATTATGTAGACTTGATCTTTGCTTTTGTGGTCTTATTTTAATTTTCTGTCCAGGGCCTCCTACACATGGTAGCTACAGTGCTAACAGTAGCATGTAAACAGATTGGCCATGATAGGTTACATTCTAATAACAATAGAAAAGCAAGATATAGGTAGATGTATATGTCTAAATAAACTAAATCAATCTTACATAAAAGAGAGAGTCATCTGCTTCATAGGGAAGTGGTCACAGCACCAGTCTGACAGTTCAGTAAGTGTTTGGACAATGCTCTCAGGCACATGGTGTGACTCTTGGGAATGTCCTGCGCAGGATGAGGGGTTTGACCTGATTATCCTTTGGAGTCCCTTCCAACTCAGTTTGTTCTGTGATTCTGTGATTCCTTGAAGGTACTTCAGCAGAGGAGAAAAATTTTTGCAAAAAGCTTTCTTTTAGATTTAAAAGGCGGGAGTTACACAAAAGTCTCTTCAAACTTGGAGAATATTATGAATTAGGAGTCAGAGCTGTACATATTTAAACCATCTGGTTTCAAAGGAGAAAATTATATATATAACAGAGTGAGTGTTAAGAACTGGTAAATAGTCTTCTCCTTTAAGCAGTGAGCTGAAAAATATGCTCTCCTAAATACTCTTTACACTTTCGAAGTCCCGTATTCTGGCAGTTTTTAAAAAGACCATAAAGATCATGATCATCTATGAAAATACAAAGTCTGCAAGGTATGATACAGGATTCTGCAATTAGAAAGAGTAAAACTAAATGTTAGTGCTATTCAGATCTTTTAACCTGAACAGGAAATAACAGAACCTGCTACAGGTTTCCTTATCTCTATAAAAAGTATGAAACCAGCATTCTTTTTTAATGTTTGCTGTAAAGTTTTATATATATTGTAAATATTAATATATAAATATTATATATAGAATAATAGAATAAGAATAAAGAAATTCACAGTGGACTCATTTATGTAAAAGTCTGTTTGCAAGAAAATAGCTAGTCTGTGTTTTCATTTCAGGGATCCCCAGGTTCTTCATACAGCACATATTCTGGTAACCAGGTAAACATTCAGATAAAATGCCCTATTCAGCAGCTCCATCTAAAACCTCCCCTGAAGGAGTAGCCAGATATCAACCAGTAACCCATTCTGTCTTCTGCACAGGGAGGGCCTTTCATCTATCCTGGAGGATCCTATGGACAGGTAGTAGTTCTTCCTCCCTCACCAGGATAATACAGACTCCCATCCTCCTAGTTCCATTACTCCTAATATTGTGGGTGCTATGACATACTAAAATAAGTCTTGACTGTTATCCCTTAGAGCAGAAAAATTAAATTAACTCTGATGTAGCCTGGTGGTGTGAAGCTCAACAGAGAACAGTACAGAATGGTTTCTGCAGTTTCTTTGCAGTATTCAAGTTTCAGGAGGCTAAGAAAATTGCTGCCAGAAGATTTCTTCCACTTTAAAAACAATAGTCTTGAGTTTTACTTAGGCACATAAAAATTAGCTCTAAACTAGGAGAAAGGATAAAGTGAGAACCAGAGGTGCAGGCATTTAAACTCTCATCTGCAAGAAAATAGCTGCTCTGTGTTTTTCTTTCAGGGTGGCCCAGGTTCTTCCCACAGTTCTTACTCTGGTAACCAGGTAAATATTCGGGTCACTGTGCCTGCACAGGAGCAGCCTAGAAGTGTTCTTTGAGAGAACATTCAACTACAAAAGAGTAAATTTCTATGTTTTCTCTGCAGGGAGGGCCTTCCTTCTATCCTGGTGGATCTTATGGACAGGTAGGTGTATTTTCTTGTTTGTAGATAATAACAGACTTCTTTAATCTTCATTCCTATATTCCCCATGTAGTGGCTGCTGTGAAATATATAACACACAAAAGTTGAGTCTATCATAACACCTAATTATTGTATCAGCTGTCTGTACCTTACAACATGAAATCTGTGAGATAAGAGGACTAAATTTCATTAGTCTTTTTTCATTACAACTTCCATGGAATGACCTTTCATCTAACTAAAAAATTAGTGATAAAAAGACCCTTTTTGTTTAGCAGTATTAGCCTAAAGTGAGATTTGGATACATTGGTATTTACACCACCCTGTTTGCAAGAAAATAGCTAGTCTGTGTTTTCATTTCAGGGATCCCCAGGTTCTTCATACAGCACATATTCTGGTAACCAGGTAAACATTCAGATAAAATGCCCTATTCAGCAGCTCCATCTAAAACCTCCCCTGAAGGAGTAGCCAGATATCAACCAGTAACCCATTCTGTCTTCTGCACAGGGAGGGCCTTTCTTCTATCCTGGAGGATCCTATGGACAGGTAGTAGTTCTTCCTCCCTCACCAGGATAATACAGACCCCCATCCCCCTGGTCAACAATGGTCTTGAGTTTTACTTAGGCACATAAAAATTAGCTCTAAATTGGGAGAAAGAGTGAAGGGAGAACTTGGTGTGCAGGCATTTAAACTCTCATCTGCAAGAAAATAGCTGCTCTGTGTTTTTCTTTCAGGGTGGCCCAGGTTCTTCCCACAGTTCTTACTCTGGTAACCAGGTAAATATTCGGGTCACTGTGCCTGCACAGGAGCAGCCTAGAAGTGTTCTTTGAGAGAACATTCAACTACAAAAGAGTAAATTTCTATGTTTTCTCTGCAGGGAGGGCCTTCCTTCTATCCTGGTGGATCTTATGGACAGGTAGGTGTTTTTTCTTGTTTGTAGAGAAAACAGACTTCTTTTATTTCACACCTATTCTGTCGTTAAAAGATGGAAAACACTTTTTTTGGGAGAATCAAATTAATCAGCTTTTTTTTTATTTTCTGTGCAGGGAGGGTCTTCTGCTTATGATGGCAGCAGTGAATCCTATGGTCAGGTAAATACTCTTTTTTTACTCTTTGTGTAAATGTTGCAGAGGGCCAATACCCTGGGTGAAGTAAATATAGAGTTATATCTGTATTTTCTCTCTCACTATATTCTAATGAAAGTGATCTTTTCTTTGAGGAATGAGTAAATTTGTATATACTTTTAACTAGGTAGCCTGAAAGTTTATGGGGAAGTACAAGGTAGGGTGCCTCCAACTTTTAAGGCTTATTCTCAACAATGCTAGGTTTAAATTACCTGCAAGATGAAGATCTCTTCAAAAATGGAATAAGAATTTGAGTTAAAAAACATGTAACATTAGTATTTTACAGAGAAATAACTCTGAGTTGCTTAACAAATCTGATAACTAAGTAAATAATAATTTTTTAAGAAGATCCCCACAGTAAGTATATATATATATATATATAAAATAGCCTTTTTACAATATGAAAATTATTTCTGTTTTCTGAACAGGGTGGATCTTCTGCTTATAGTGGTTCTGAGACTTATGGCCAGGTAAATGTTATTTCCTCCTACATCAAAAGCTTATACTTGCTGTGTTGGTAATTATGTGTACTGGGTTCTATGTTTCAGTTATTTTTATGCTATTTTTCAGGACAATGAAAATGCCATTTTAACTTTTGTCTCTCTTTACCTTTGTAAAAACTCGAAATGTTTCCTTAATTTACAGAACATGAGGCACTATGTATGCTTTTTTAACTTTGCCTTGTGATTACTCAATGCTTTAACTCCTTTATTGTTCATGTGTTAGTTCATTCAGAAGGAAAATATTTTGTGCATTTACTTTACACACCTTACTGTTAAAAGTTTAAATAAGGGGATTTTTGAATATAAAGAATGATAACTTTGCAAATTAATTTAATGTAAACATTTTTCATTATAAAAATGCATGTTTGCAAGGAGGGTTTTTTTCCAGCCTCTTCTGCTTAAGCAACAGGTAAAGTTACATATTTTGTCTTTTCTTGCATATTTCTTAGTTTAGGTAAAATTGGACATTTTAAGCATTTAGTTAGTTTTATTCTTCTATTTTATATCCCCCACAATTAAGAACATGTAAGAGTCCTTTTTACATGAAAATCTATGTTTTTTCATTATTTTACAGGATTCAGCTTCCATGGGAGCCAGTGAAACTGAATATAGTGTAAGCATTTTTTCTCAACAATATCAATATCATAATTCACTACCTTTTAAAGTATGTAGGTACCTACACAGACCTTCACTTTATCTGATGTCACGTGATTGTGCTATACATGATAAGGACTTCACAAATTAAAATTGCAGTTACAACACTTCTGACTTCTAACAATCAGTTTTTGAATTGGATGTTACAAGCAGCAATTACAAAGAAAGCTCTCATTTCACAATTTCCATCAAAACTCAGTATTAGTACATGACTACTTCTCTCTTTTCATTAGCAATTAGCACTACATTTCATTTTTTTTCCCAATGCCAGACATAAAATATTCAAATTCCTTCATCTATATATTGCATAGGAATGGTCTGGTTTCATGAAGTGTGGTGAAAAACATCTGCTTTTCTTAAGAAGATGCCTTGTCTCCTGACTAAAATTTATTTCCTTAAATTCTGCTGAAGCTGTTTATAAAATTTGACAATTCCAGTGTTTTCCAGGGTCCTTTTTAGTAGGAAATTGCTCTCCACAAGTAATTTTAAATTCAGCTGTGCACTTTGGTCACAAGTACACTGTGTTGATAACTTCAGTGCTGTCTCTATACCAAATCATCTTATGGATATTCAAGAAAGCTAAAGTATGACACTACAGAGGGCCCAGAAACCCCTCTGAAAGAAACCAAGGTGTAACAACAGATGTGTACCACATCTTGGTCTTAAAAACCAAGAAAGCTTTTAAAAGGCTGATGTTTTCCCCCGAAACATTCTAAAGGAAAGAAAGTAGAGATGGGACCTCATTCCTTTATTTCACTATATCAGGATTCAGCTTTCAAAATAAAGAAATGCCATTCTCCAGAAATGAGCAGAGAAAGAATTTGTAGACTTCTTATCCTACAGTCTTTATCTTCAGCCTTCCCATAAACAGTTTATGGAACTTTTTCTTCCCACCTTTGCTTAGAAAGGAATAGTAATATTTGCCATGGCAATAATAAGATTTTGATATTTTTTAGGATTCCTCCTCACCATCTGGTAGCCGCCAGAGTGAACGGGTAAGCAATCCTTCCTTTATGGTATTGCCAGGTGCCAGCCCCAGTGCTTGGCAACAGCAGCACCTAATTACATCTCCTGTGGAAACCCTGAGGCAGTTCCAGTGTGAGACAGAAAACCCTCAAGAACAGCAGGAATGAGGATATGGATAAAGAGTTAAAGTACTGCTAGAAACCCCAGCTGATGCTGAGGTGTGCTCTTGAATTTCAAACTCACATCACAAATGTGATAGCACCATTTACTTGTTCAGGACCTTGCTCTTTTAAAATCATTGCTTGACTGCAAAGAGCTTCAATACCATGATTTGTCCAGCACTTAGAATAAGTGCAACCCTTTGCTTTGTTGTGCTGTAAGACTTACTTATGAAGGCTTCCATTTTCCTATCATTTTTACATGGCACCTGCTGTGTTTATTCTAATGACACAGACTGAGAAATTATTTTGTTAGAGATAGAATTCTTTCAGCTGCTGTATCCTAGAGAATATCTACCACCAAAAGAGCAATTATCAATAGTCATGAAAGGGTGTGTGCTGTTTTATACAGAAAGACAGCAGATTTTTTTTGTTTTTCTTGAACAGTCCATGACAGAAAATTAAGGAATGTGGAGAAGGAAAGAGGAGTGTTTTTCTTCCACTCTGATCTTTCCGGTTTTTGGGGTTTGGTTTTTTCATTTAATTTCAATACATTTTTCCAGGATTTTTATTCCCCAGGAGGCAGCCAGTCAGGTGGACATGTAAGCATCTATTTTATTTATTATTTGAAGTTCCCTTCAAAAATGGCTGTACTATTTAAAAATTATCCCAGTGAGTAAATGACACCAAACTGTTTCTTTCTTGGAATTTGTCATGACATCTGGTATCATGCCTTGTGAAATCTAATTGCAAACTGTTTGAATTTAAAAATTAAAAATTTAATGTGTATAACAGTCTTGTTCTCCAGAAGCCATTTCAAACAAAAAAATATTGGGTCTGCTTTTTTCAGGGGTCATCTTCTCAAAGTGGTAGCTACTCCAGTGGACAGGTAAATACTAAATCTTTGTATTTTTGACCTCAAGTATCTGCCACAGAAAAGTTGGAGGCCTCATGTGGTATTACAGCAATTTTTAAACTGTGAACAAGGTTGATTCATTTTTCCTTACAAATCTCCATGTAAAAGCCCAGATGCAAGTGGAGTAGTCAAATATACATTTAATGTATTAACTGATGTTTTAACACCAGGAAAAATGAAAGTAATAAATATTTGGCATTAATTAATATATGTTAAACATGGAGTAAGTGATTTTTATATTTTTCAGGACTCAGCCTCATCTGGAAGCAGCCAGTATGGGGGGCAGGTGGGAAATTTCTTCTTCTTCGTTGTTATTGTGATGGGTTTTTCCCTCAGTGTATATGTTTCAAGAAAATATTAGTAAATTGGCAATACCTAAGCTTCCAGACTACTCTGTGATTTATTTTATCCTCATTAAAATTACTACAGATAAAATTACTTTCTCAACTAAACAGATCTTTTCAAACTTAGTTAAAAGAATAAAAGGCAATATTTTGTATTTAAATTCATGTGTCAAAGAAAAATTTTTAAATGTGAATGTAACATTTACAGGGTTCACCTTCCTCAGGAGGCAGCCAGTCTGGTGGACAGGTATGAATTTCTTTCTCCACAGTCTTCAGCTGGGCTCATGTCAGGCACTCAAATTTACTTCTTTTATCTTTCCTTCACAAGAACTGTTTTCCTTCACCACTGTCCTTTGTGCCCAAAGCCTCAGCAGTGCATTGTTTCCTTTTGGAAACAATTTGGACATCCTGCAAGCCAGAGTAGCCAGTAGTAACTGTTTGACATGTGTATTGTAGCTTCTGTACTTGCTTTGGTGCTAAACAAATTTCATGCATATTTAACGTGGAAAGTGAGACACTGAATGAACTCCTGGCCACCAACAGTTAGTTTTATCAGAGATTAAATCATGTGCTTTCTGTATCATCTGTAACATGAAATAGTACTGCATGTACTCCTGGTGCTCTGGCCTGTTTAGGAAAAAAAAGTCTTTCTGTGGTGCTACTCAGAATTTTTTACTCATCCTTTAGATAGGTAATGTTTTTAAGGTAAAAATTGTAGGTAAGAAAACTTGAAGACAAAATAATTAGCATTTTGTTGCCCCATCAGAGTGCAGAAATAGTTGCATAAGATGAAATAGACTCAGTTCTAGAAACTGGGCAGTTAAAGTGTAGCTTTATGGTTTGCATGCCTGGGATGGTAGAATTGATTTGAGTTGTAACTAAAATCCATTTCAGTCCTGTGTTCTTGATATCTTAAATACTTTCTGCATTTTTACAGGGTGGATGTGATTGTTCTGGGGGAAGTTCTGTAAGTGCTACTTGTTCATTATACATATTCTTTCACTAAACAATTTAACTGGAAAATTATGTGAAATCCTATTTATTTCCAACTTACTTATTTGAATGTACTCTTAATTTGACATTCATTGTTCCTTTGGTGACTTAGATGGTTCTGATATGGTAGGAGCTATTTCTCATTATGCCAAGATTCAGTGTTACAGAATCATTGAACCATTTAGGTTGGAAAATGCCTCGAGTCCAACCATTAACTCAGCACTGCCAAGGTCACCACTAAACCATACCCCTAAGTGCCTCATGTACATGCCTTATAAACACCTCTGGTGGTGGTGATTCAGCCCCTTCCCCTGCAATCCCAGTGCTTGATAATCCTTTCAGCGAAGAAATTGTATACTAAAATATAATCTAATTCTCCCCTGGAGCAGCTTGAGGCAATTTCCTCTTGTTCTATTGCTCGTTACTTGAAAGAGAGGACCAGCCCCCACCTGGCTACAGCCTCCTTTTAGGGAGTTGTAGAGGGTGATAAAGTTCCCCGAGCCTCTTTTTGTCCAGGCTCCAGCACCTTCAGCTGCTCCTCACAAACCTTGTGCTACAGACCCTTCCCCAGTCCCGTTGCCGTTTTTGGACACAATCCCACACCTCAGTGTCCACCTTGTAGTGAGGGACCCAAAAGTGAACACAGGACTCAAGGTGGCAGCCTCATTAGTCNCATTTTTCTTTGCACACTTTAATTGTTGCAAAAAATGTTTTCAACAGAAATCTAGCACAGCTTGATTGAGGAGAGTGTTTTTAGTTGCTATCAACAAAAATTTTCAACATGAAGAAAATAAGACATCAAAATTGGACAGATTAGAAAACCAGTTCTCAATGCAGATGTGTCAACTTTGATACACAAGAGACTTATTTTCCAATTTGCAATCTTATCAGCTGATCAAATTAATTTCTGATAAATTATGTAGACTTGATCTTTGCTTTTGTGGTCTTATTTTAATTTTCTGTCCAGGGCCTCCTACACATGGTAGCTACAGTGCTAACAGTAGCATGTAAACAGATTGGCCATGATAGGTTACATTCTAATAACAATAGAAAAGCAAGATATAGGTAGATGTATATGTCTAAATAAACTAAATCAATCTTACATAAAAGAGAGAGTCATCTGCTTCATAGGGAAGTGGTCACAGCACCAGTCTGACAGTTCAGTAAGTGTTTGGACAATGCTCTCAGGCACATGGTGTGACTCTTGGGAATGTCCTGCACAGGATGAGGGGTTTGACCTGATTATCCTTTGGAGTCCCTTCCAACTCAGTTTGTTCTGTGATTCTGTGATTCCTTGAAGGTACTTCAGCAGAGGAGAAAAATTTTTGCAAAAAGCTTTCTTTTAGATTTAAAAGGCGGGAGTTACACAAAAGTCTCTTCAAACTTGGAGAATATTATGAATTAGGAGTCAGAGCTGTACATATTTAAACCATCTGGTTTCAAAGGAGAAAATGGGTTTACTTTCGTGTGTCCCCAAATTCCTCACACTGCAATTATTCTGCTTTTTCTCCAAGCTTCATTTAAAGACAAGATCTTAGTCTAAAAGTAGTCTCAGAGGAAGCAGTCTAACCATAGAATAATACTTCCTTCGTTTTGTATATAGCAGGTGTATATATATAACAGAGTGAGTGTTAAGAACTGGTAAATAGTCTTCTCCTTTAAGCAGTGAGCTGAAAAATATGCTCTCCTAAATACTCTTTACACTTTCGAAGTCCCGTATTCTGGCAGTTTTTAAAAAGACCATAAAGATCATGATCATCTATGAAAATACAAAGTCTGCAAGGTATGATACAGGATTCTGCAATTAGAAAGAGTAAAACTAAATGTTAGTGCTATTCAGATCTTTTAACCTGAACAGGAAATAACAGAACCTGCTACAGGTTTCCTTATCTCTATAAAAAGTATGAAACCAGCATTCTTTTTTAATGTTTGCTGTAAAGTTTTATATATATTGTAAATATTAATATATAAATATTATATATAGAATAATAGAATAAGAATAAAGAAATTCACAGTGGACTCATTTATGTAAAAGTCTGTTTGCAAGAAAATAGCTAGTCTGTGTTTTCATTTCAGGGAGCCCCAGGTTCTTCATACAGCACATATTCTGGTAACCAGGTAAACATTCAGATAAAATGCCCTATTCAGCAGCTCCATCTAAAACCTCCCCTGAAGGAGTAGCCAGATATCAACCAGTAACCCATTCTGTCTTCTGCACAGGGAGGGCCTTTCTTCTATCCTGGAGGATCCTATGGACAGGTAGTAGTTCTTCCTCCCTCACCAGGATAATACAGACTCCCATCCTCCTAGTTCCATTACTCCTAATATTGTGGGTGCTATGACATACTAAAATAAGTCTTGACTGTTATCCCTTAGAGCAGAAAAATTAAATTAACTCTGATGTAGCCTGGTGGTGTGAAGCTCAACAGAGAACAGTACAGAATGGTTTCTGCAGTTTCTTTGCAGTATTCAAGTTTCAGGAGGCTAAGAAAATTGCTGCCAGAAGATTTCTTCCACTTTAAAAACAATAGTCTTGAGTTTTACTTAGGCACATAAAAATTAGCTCTAAACTAGGAGAAAGGATAAAGTGAGAACCAGAGGTGCAGGTATTTAAACTCTCATCTGCAAGAAAATAGCTGCTCTGTGTTTTTCTTTCAGGGTGGCCCAGGTTCTTCCCACAGTTCTTACTCTGGTAACCAGGTAAATATTCGGGTCACTGTGCCTGCACAGGAGCAGCCTAGAAGTGTTCTTTGAGAGAACATTCAACTACAAAAGAGTAAATTTCTATGTTTTCTCTGCAGGGAGGGCCTTCCTTCTATCCTGGTGGATCTTATGGACAGGTAGGTGTATTTTCTTGTTTGTAGATAATAACAGACTTCTTTAATCTTCATTCCTATATTCCCCATGTAGTGGCTGCTGTGAAATATATAACACACAAAAGTTGAGTCTATCATAACACCTAATTATTGTATCAGCTGTCTGTACCTTACAACATGAAATCTGTGAGATAAGAGGACTAAATTTCATTAGTCTTTTTTCATTACAACTTCCATGGAATGACCTTTCATCTAACTAAAAAATTAGTGATAAAAAGACCCTTTTTNTTCAGAGGCAGGAATTTTGCAACTGGGGCCAAGGAAAAATATGAATATATGAAATCAATATTTACCTAGTATGCAACATTAGCCATCTCAGCCCATTGGCTGAAAAACAGAAGGAAAAATAAATATAATAAGAAAATGTTGTGTCCCTTTCTGGAAAACTCTTATAAGATTAGAATAATGTCTCAGACAGATGTCACTCTGCTCTATGATTGTCACTCAGTAAACACACTGTGATCAACTATTTCTCCAGAATAAGAAATGTCAAAATAACTCCAGTTAAGCAGTCTTGTTCTGTTTTCTTACCCCAAAAATAGACATTAGAGAGGCATCTGCTTCACATATACAATAACTATGAATCAATCATTAATTTCATACAGGGCTACAGACCTCAAAGTGGCAGTTCCTATGGTCAGGTAAGCATCAGTCCGTCACCAGTCAGAACTGAGCATTTCAGAAATGAAGCACCGTAAAGGCACTTAGCAGGCCTTCACAATCTGAACTTTAAACAACATTGTCTCTGAAAGTGTCTCTTCTCACTCAACATTTATGCATATGCTACTTGTTGATCTGGAATGCCAGTGTGTGAAATCCTCACACTCAGCATCCTCCTGAGAGCCAGAAGACGCCTGGCTCTGCATACTGCCCTGCATGGCTTTAGGATGTAGTTGCTTGCTGTTGCTAATGCAGGCTGGATCCCTTCCTGAAAGGGAAGTAACCAAATGGTGTCCTTGTCTTAGGGTGGACCAAGTTTCTCAGGCAGCAGCAGCTCCTATGGCCAGGTAAGCCAACTGGCTGCTCTGCAGGAAATTCTTCACTGAGCTCTCTGGCATGACTGGCAGACTTTTGAGAGTGATGTTTCTTTTGGCAGTCTGTGCCTCAACTTGAGCTGTGGCTGCTGCTGAGAGTAGGGCAATGTGCTGCACAGATGTCCAGCTCTTAGCATACTGCTCTGTGTCCTTTGGCCAGAGCAATTCCATATGCATCATGCTCTTTAAAGAAGCCTCCTTGTCAAGGTGTTAATTATTTCTTCTTTATTTAAAGGGTTCCCAAGGTTTATTTAAAGGGTTCCCAAGGCAGCCAGTCCTATGGCCAGGTGAGATTTTGCTGCTGAAATGTGCTGAGCTTTTCTGTAGGAGCCTGTCCTATAAATGAGCTTTGGGGTGTGGGCTTTTTTTTTCCTTCTGAGAGGTCCTTGACTTGGTTTGTACCACTGAAATAGCATGAGAGTAAAAATAGCATAGTACAGAGGACCTTTAATGGAAGTGGGCTTTTCTTTCTGGTATTCTGTGATTCTGTTGCTGCTGATGTGCTGAGATTATACTTACACAGCTCTTTTTACAAATGAATTTGTGCCTTTCTTACAGGGCTACCAGTCTCAAGGTGGCAGTTCCTATGGACAGGTAATTGTCAGTCATTTATAGAGCATGTATGTGATGTTCCCATATACGTATTGAGAATTCTGTGGTTTGTTACTTGAAATAATATAATAAGTAACTCTTTAGAATTAAGTCCCATAATTTTTTTTTCACATGGCTCTGGCAACAATAGTCTCACTGGAGCATCATTTTCCCCCGTAGAAAGGAGTGCATGCAGGTGTCAGCTTTCTGATGCACTTTAGTATTCAACATACTCAGCACTTTACCAGATAATACACAGTAGGATATAGTTGGGTTTGAAGAAGTCTGACAGCTAAAGCCATTGAAAATTCATGTATGTGTTTAAAATACAAGGAGAATAGGAATATTTGGATCATGAGCTATTCTTTTTTTTCCCAGCAGGGCGGATCTGTTTCTTATGGTGGCAGCAGTGGTTGTGGACAAGTAAGATGTTTTCTCCAAACTGTTTAAAAACCAGACTGAGTTTTCTTTACAATAATAACATGTTTTTATAATGTTTCTTAGTTTGAAATCTATTGTTTTCATTGTTATGTGAACTTATCTAGCACAGAGTTCAAGAAATGCTGATATTGTTTGCCATTGTAACCCATATGAAGTGGCTCCTCCCATTTAGAGTTACACATGGAAAACAAACAGTTCATCTGTCTCCTCAATAAGAATATAAAATCTTTGCACAGGAATTTTTGGATGTTACTCCATTTATTTTCTCTAGAAAATGATAGGATTGGAGAGTGGCTCAAATGGAGTAAGAATTAGATTAGTAGTTTTCGTCCTGGTTCCATTTCAACTTGTATGTCTAAAATGGTGTAAAGACATTGTCTTCGATGATGAGATCCTAGGTGAAAACAGCATAAATGAGGCCAATAGTAAACTTACCTTTGAATAAACATATTGACCAAATCAACCAGAATGAAAGATAAGTATGAAACCAGGCGTTTTTAGAAGTATTAGGATTGATGTGAGTTCGGCATGAATGGAAATGCATCTGAAAGCATCACAAGGAGCAGTACAACAAGGACACAGTTACCAGCAATGAAACTGATAAACACTGAAGAATGGGTGATTTCCACTATGTGGTGTCACAGGCTGACTTATCAAAAGAATTGCTGTAATCATGGGAGGGTGAAAAACAGGGAAGAACTCTCTCTGCGTACTCTTCATCCTTTTCTCACAAAATATACCCAGGCAAATGAATTGCTCTGAACAGAAACCTTGCCTAAAATCCATGGTGGTGAATCTAGCCTGAGATTGATGGTCACATTTAGATAGATGGTCACCCAGCTGTAACAGTTACTTCCAAAAAACCCCACCAGCAGTTCATCTTCACCAATCAAGAGGAACTAGGATGATGCAGATGGACATCAATTATCAACCTACCTCTTTCCATGTGGCTCACAAGTATTTCTTTGATCATCTATGTGCAAGTGTCTTGATGCTTGTATGGGGGTATGAGAGTGACAGAGGGTAAAGCCACCCACTTAAAGGGTTAAGTAAAATTAAACTCACCCTCTGTAAAGTTATATGTTGAGTTTCGTTACACTGATTCTCACTTAGGAAAATTTAAGGAAGCTAATTACTTTGCAAGAAAAATGTCATTTACCTTTTTGTTTGGTTGTTTTTTGACAGGGTGTCTCCTATGATAGCAATCCCTGTCACCAGGTAAATGGTCTTTCTCCTCTTATTTTAGGATGCATTAGAAATTAGTTTTGCCACTAAACCAATTCGTTCCAAATTCAGATTCATATTGCACAAATCCATGTAATCTTATACATTTTGAGATTAGAATTCACTATCTTCCTATTCACAGGAGCGTCACGGGGGCTTTGAAGTCTTTTTTGCCACTTTTTCCTAGCATTACATTTTGAAATATTTAATTCTATAGAACATTAAGGCCAGATTCTGGAAAGAAGAAGTTTGCTGCAGAGTTGTTCCACTGGCATGACTTAAATCAAGGCTGGAGCTCACCAGCTTCTCTCTTCCTGTCAAAATCCAGAAAATATTTTAGAACCGCCATTCAAGGTCCCAGAAACAAACTGAGTTTGTGCAGTGAACTATAGATAGCCACCTGTGTATTTGTTACAAGTGGAGCTGTACAAACCACTATCCTAAAAGATGTCAGCTAGGTTTAAAGAAGTCATCTGTGATGTTAAAAATTAAGCAGAAAATGGCAACAGATCAGTTCCTTTTTATTCATGATACTTCTTTTGATTATTACTGAGTTTTCACAAGAAACAGTAAAATTGGACAGATTAATTGCTTCAACAAATGCTGTTTTTTAGCATTATTATATATATATACTATATATAAAAATATATTCTATATTTATATATAGAATATAAATACTTACTATATGTATAAGTATGCAAACAATATCGATGTTGTTACAATATATTATTATAATGTGGTACAGCATATACAATGCACTGTACGTAATATATTATTGTAACTTGACAGAATTATATATTAAATAGGTAGATATTATTTTATAATAGCTTTTAATTTTTTAAGAGGACTTAGTTCTTTTTAAGACTAAAGAAAATGCTTAAATTTTATTCTAAAATCTTCTAGGACATTGAAAGATAATACTTTTCATTTAATTTTTCATTCAGTGTTCTGAATGAAGCCTCAGTCCCATTTTAGAGAATGGAAAATATCCCACTTACTTCAATAGTTCATTATTTCACTATTCTATTTATGCAAATTTGACACTAAAACTTCTACAAATGTCTTTTCTGATTTCACTACAAGGAGTTACATTCCTCTATAAAGAGGGCACATTGAAACATACTGTGTGTTTTATTTAAAACCTTTTCCTCAAGGCCACTGTATCTCAAAGGTCACAGCTTTGTGTAATAATGCTACCAGGGGAATTTGTATTAATTCATTCCATTTGTATAAATTAGGTTTTCTATAGCAGAAAAAAAATGATACATTCTCTAGAGAGTGTTCAGAATGGAACTCATCTGTGCACTAGACATTAAAGTTAGATGTTTGACTTCTTTGATTTATGTCTCATCTAGTATTTACCATTGCACTACTGGCAATCTGTGCTCATTACATTAGAAATAATATCCATATTGTATATCTGCCTCTGCTTCTTACTCTTCCTAAGCAAGTATCATAGCTTTCAAAAATATTCCATGGCCAAACAATGAGTTATAAAGCATTTTTGTCTGATTTACAGGGTGGATCACAGGGTGGTCAGGTGGGTACATCTTTATTATCCATTGGTAAAAACTTTTAAAGCAAATCTAATCCACACTACAATTCTCTTGCGCATGGGGATATAGATTCTTGCAGAGTCTCTCAGTGTCCAGTCTGTAAGTCATTCTCCGCAAA